GCGGAGCGAGAGCGGAGCGACAAGTCTGCTCAAAGACGAGAGCGGAGCGGGGAGCGGAAAAGTGAGAGCGATGCCAAGTCTGAGAAATTATATATATTATTTATCTTGAACGTACTCAATGAATTGAAAATCATGTTGGTCTGGAGGCAAGTATATTCATGATCAAACAATGAAGCGTAAAAAGGCCAAACGAAACGTGCACGCATTTCAACGTTGTCAGCAAAAGAGCTCACGTTGGCTGATCAGCAAATAAATTTAGGCGCGTCGTACGCAGGGATTTTGGATTTGCGTGTCGAGGAGTGTGTTTTTGATAGAGACGAGTCGAGGGTTTGGAATAACGAGGTTCCAAACAAAACTTATTCCTCTCCACTCTCTCTATGGCATACACAATAGAGTGAAATTTATGGCACGCACGCCTGCGAAATCCGGCAGCAACCAAACCGACCGACTCTCAGTTTTGGTCCTGCCTGCGGGCTCCATTATTCAAATTCGCTGCGTGTGTGTCACAATGTAATTATACAAGCGGCACATATTGCCGAATGAACATACACCCAAGCGGGAAAGCTGTTCTCTCCGTGCATAATTTAATATGTACGCGCTTGTATTTGCGAAACAGACAATCCCAATTTTGATAGGGCTTTCATCGTTATTAATTGGGTTTGCGAGGGTTCTATACACCTTTGAGCCTCTCATTGCTGCAGGCGACTCATCAGGATGCTTATTTACGCCCTTTGAAACCGTTTTGTCTTGCACAAAATTCAATCATTAAGTCAAATCTTTTGACTATAAACTAATTATGAAGTTCTTGATTGTAAACAAAGATATCAAAGTCGACAATTCAAGTTCTCACTCAGTAGGGTGCTTATTGCTTAATATTTTAGGTCGTTTTAATTCCTTCCAGAATTCTCTTTAACCAGAAATAAATTGGGGAAACGAAATGTTAAAGGGTTACAATTGATTGCTAACTCTTATCTGCGCAGGAAAATTTTAATGAAACAAAACTATATCCGTTATTGGAAAAGGAAGTAAAAACTTCCGCATGTAAAATTCACTTTTATTAAGAAATTATATAGAATTACAATTTAAGTCACCTTTATAATATCTGCTTGCAAACCCCTGAGGAATTTTGGGTATTGAAAAAAATTATAGATTTTTAAATTTGATTTGAAGCGAAAGCTGCAGAACCAAATAAATTTGAATAAAATCCAAAATTTTTATTCCCCTAGTGTGTGTTCAAAATTGTTAATGAAAAAAAAAACGATTTCCCCCAGAAAATGTCTAACGTAGTAAAATTTGTGGAGATAAACACTTGAACACGCCCCACAGGAATTGTTCTCGCCCTTCTCTTTTTATGCGCCGCGTTTCTTCTAAAATGTGATACACTTTTTAGGCTCATTTGTATTCTCAAGGCGTAAAAGGTGACACACGGCTAGCTCGCGCTTAAAATATGCTCTTTATGATAAATTGGTGCAGCTAAGGAGGAGGGAAGGCGCGCAGCATCGCGGGGCCATCTGTTAGCTGCCTGCCGGCTGCGTGCGAGACTGATGCGGTGCAGTTTCGAGAAAATATTACACGCATCACCAAGGCCGCCTTTTCCCCTTTTTTGTTTTCATTTACGTGTTGTTCCATAAAATGAACAATATTGCACCGCGCTGGAAGGATGAGCTCCGAAATAAGGCAAAGTAGTTTAAAGGTCAGGCAGTATAAAAAAGTAGCTCGAAACTTTTTGAACAAACGGAAAACGCACGCTCTTCAAGAGACAAAGAGATAATACGAACTCGTTCTCAGTTTCTACTGCCAACATTAAATGTGGTATTCAAAAGTTGGCAAGAATCTTATAATGGAAAAGTACGTCTTCAAAGAAAGTTTCCAAAGCTTGTCCAAAACGAAAAAAGTTATAAAGGTAAAGAGATATGTCCGCAAGGTGTTAAGGTGCAAAAGTTTCATGAGAAAAAAAATCAGCACGAAAATGAAAACATTCAATTTAATGTTTATTTTCAGTGGGCATAGAAAAACTTTCCAGACTATTTACAGCCCCATATTAAGTTCTATCTTTTTTCTCATAACGTTTTAAAACTTTTGCAAGGCAATAAAAGGAGTCAACAGTGTTGTGGGAAATAAATATATTGCTGCGATCGTTTATGACGTTTCAATTCAGACCTTCCTTTCCTGGAAAAGTAATGGACAGACACGTCCGGGGCATGAAAAGCTTCAATAAAATCTCGCCGCCCAAAAACGTTGCCAGCGGATCGATTCGGCACTTTTTGCCCAACCACACCTGCCTTCCTTTCTGGCCTTTTCACACAATTTTCTGACCCCGCAATTTCAGACTGGATATATTTTAGTCGGATTCCTCTGATTGCTCTCTCAAATGCCTGTCGTCGAGTACAATGGAGCCGAATGAGAAATCGGCGCGGAACAATGGCGAAGAATCTGCTCGCGGAAGAGCGTGGGAGGCACGGAAAATTCATTATTGCTCTCCTTGGAGAGAGGCAATTTCGCTAAATCTCGAGCGCGGGAGGACTTTTCTGCTGATATGGATGTTTTAATGGTGCGCTGCAACTCAGGCAGAAAATCAGAAAATGGTGTACAAAGAAAGCTCTTTTGGTTCCAACCTCCAACATGATGCATCAATCAAGATATAAAATATGATATTAAGAGAACTTCTGCAATAATTGCATGCACAATAAATTTTGGTATATGATGCATTAAAAGCAGAAATATCGGCTACCAAGAGTTCTTTTGTACTAAGAAAAAAAATGTATATAACTACTTTCTTGATGGATCTTTATAGGCTTGCATTTGGGTTTGCAATTTTTGTAAACTATAATGATTTATTTTTATTTTTTCATATTTTTTTTAGAGATTAATCTATTTAATCCATTTATTTGCTTATTATTTTATTTAAACTTTTCTTTAAAAAATTTAATTGACGCTTCAAACGACTCATATAATATTTCATCAAAAGATTACTAATTACTCTACACGGCAAAAGGCAACGTTTTCTCGCTTTAAATTACAGGAACGCTTCTGCGTCACAACTACTTACTAATATATAACTTGCAACGCCTTCTAGTCAGTTATGTACGCGCCTCAATATTTGTCCCGCCGCTCAATTTTCCGCTCTATAGCTGCTAGGCAAAGGAAGGTAAACCCAAGTGCGGAGACATTATGTACCCACAGCTGGAATCGATATCCGAAGCGAAATAATTAGCAAGTGCATGTATATTATAGTTGTATGTATATGAAGGGAAGGTCCCTAGAGCGTTGTGGCTGTATATCGAGATAGTGCTTTATGGTGTACACAAATGCCCCTAATTTGGCGATGCGTGTCTCAGTCAGCCAACAGGTAAACGCCGCGAAGCACCAACACACAACTCACGTGTGTTTTCCCAGAGTGCCGGGCCATATTACTTTCCACCCCCCCTACAGAGGTGAACAAACAGCCCTTGCTCACTACATAATACAATCGGCGTCGGCACACAATGCCCAAACCCTCGACGCTGTTTAATTTTGAGCCGAAAAGCGCTCGTTTTGGTGGAAAAGTGTCGCGTTTCTCTCGCAGCACCTGCCACTCGCTTTTTAATTTCGCGCATGGGGTGTTTCTACCCCTTATTGTGCCGCAAATTGCGCGCTGCACCTTTGTTTTGCCAGGTTTCGCGCTTGGAAAATTAAATATGAGAGGAAATACAAAATGTGTTAAATATAAGGGAAAAGCAAATTGCTTTACACAGAAGATCTTATACAAGATGACAAATTTTTGAAATTAATTTCGAACAAGAAATATAATTTTTTAGATCTTAAGTGGAATTTTGCAGAATACTCACAATTTTAAGTAATTCAAATAATATTCTATGCAAAACACTTTAAGATTATGACAATAAAACTTGATACACATAAAAAGTTGTCTCAAAACTTAAACATTGAAATATAAAAAGGCAAAAAGATTTGTTTTGGAAAAGTTTTCATTTCAAATAGCGTCCGCTGAGCAAAATTCCAGTCTCTGTTAAGAAAAGTTTTAAAAATTTCTGATTCTCTTGAAAAATACTTGTTGTCACGCTATTAATTTGTCTCCGCCTCGTGGTTGTTTATTTTTTTGCTTCAAGGCGAGAAAAGCTCGCAAGCCTCCCAATAATTCAAGATAGGACGAAAGCAGAGAGCAAACAAGGGGAGTTTTCAGCCTTCTAAAAGCCACGCTCTTTTCTTGCTCTGTGACTCACTTTGTGCCGCCTGCAAATTGTGACAAAAAGCGATTTTTCATCCTCGCGTTGAAGTCACGAAAACGGGCCATATTTCACGCCGTTGTGTGTTAACTGCGCTCGACTTAATTAATTTTTTCAGCTAAAAATCGATTGTCTAAAATTAGCTTGAAATTCTTTTAAAATATTACGAGTTTTCTTTGAAACGCAACGGAGCGGAGCTCTTTGATTGTCAGAGCGGCTGCTGGCGTGTGTTTTGAACTTGAAGCACAACAAAGTAAATAAATTCCGGCGTGGCAGGTGCGTCGGGACACAACAAACCAAGAGAAGAGAGGAGAGGAGGGATAAAATAAAAAAAGCAGCTCGCTTGCCAGGTCGTTCTGGCCGAAAATCTCGTTCAAAATTCATAAGCAATCTGTTGAATCGCAAATGTATCCTGCAAATCGAGTTTTGCTGCTCTCCTGGCATGCAGGAGAGGCAGCTTTTTAAATCACGATTTGAAACAATCCAAAAATTGAACCAGTCACGTTTGTTTATCACAACAAAATGATCAAAATTGTTGAGGATCGTTGCTTTTTCTAAGTCAAAAGTTGTTAAAAATATTATTTACCTTCAAAATTAAATCAATTTTCAAGAATTTCCAGACAAATTCAAAATAGAAATACCAATGAACATAATTGCTGTGTGTGTTTTTTGCAATAATTATTATATATACTTCAAAAATCGGTAGATTTTACTGTTTTAAATATTGATTGTACATTATAAAATGGCAATATGTATTTTTTAATTGATAAAACTGACCTTGATCCAGTAGGGAAGGTAGTAGCCGGAGCAGGAAGCGAGAGCCGAGATCAGTGATAGGAAGGCCCAGAGAATGCCGATGCCCGTGAGCGAGGTGGCCATGCTGTCGCGGCTGTGAATGTACGCCGTGCTGCGATCCTCTCGACTCGCGGGTCGTCTCTCGACTGACTCACTCAAGCCGCGTGGACCGCTCGGCTCGCTCGCTTGCCAGATGAGGAGCGCCCGCCCGACCGACCAATGTTGGTCGCGGCACATTCACAACCACAGGGCCCGATGGGTCGCCTAGGTGCGGTACCCATCAGAGGCGTACAATGATACACGACCAGCATCCCTATTATTAGAGATTATTTATATAAGCGTGTATGCTATGCAGGGAAAAGGTGAACAGAAAGTTTCCACAGTGAATATTTTTAGTCACACTAACTATGGGGGACTTTTCTTGTATAGCAATCCTGCGCCCTGTTAATTTTTTAATCTGGCACTTTTTGTTGTAATTATTTTTATATTTATTCCAAAAAAAGTAGAATGTTTCACATGTTCTTGAATTCTTTAAAAACCTGTTAAAGATTATAAATGAATTAAAAAAATTGATAAATTCAAATCGTTTTTGCATAAAACCAACAAGATGTGTTATTGAAACACTGATTTTGAACACATGAGTGTGAATTTTCTTACAGCCTTAGGTAACTCAGAAAGAACATTATTTACGTTTGCCCACTTTGTTTCTAAAAATAAAACCTAAAAGTTTTTATTGCATTAGGAATTGTAAAGTAGCTAAATATATACACAGATGAGGTTTTTTCGCCTAAATTTTATTAGATAATTAATGTAAATTAGTATTCCAGAGGGTGAATTTGGCTAATAGCTGTTCTAGAGTCTCCAAGGTTAGTGCCCAGATTGTCTACCAACTTTTCATCAAAATAGTAGTGTCCCGCGCCTCAAATACAAAGCTTTTGTTCGCTTTTGTTAAGGAATTTTCCGTTTACTGAGAGGATTGAAAATTAGAGTGTTGTCAAATCTGAAAAAAAAATATACAATTTAAATTTAATCCCTTCTGTATTTCTTCTTTTTTTAATTTAAGTTTTGCCAAATTTTAAGACTGTGAATTTCTTCACACTCTTTTACATGTTAGAATTTTTGTAAAAGTTTCAATTATTTGTCTTTGCTACATCTGAATGCGCCACTGACTAATAATCATATACAGGCTATTTGACGTAGCTGAAGAGAGGTTCTCTTCTTTGAGCCTTGTGAGCATTAAAAGGCAAAGGCGCTGTGTGTGTGTGAAGTGTAATGTGCCCTCGCGATTGTTGGTGGGTGAGAATAAACATAGCCGCCTCACCCATTACGGCTCGTAAATGCAATGGGATGACATAAACAGGAAGCATCTTCGCGCGGCCAACACTCACCGTGAAGGCATCTGGCTAATTCAATTTGGAGTTGTATTTTTTAGGCGAAGAATTTATCTTTAACCAGGGGGAGTTTCATTACATGCTCACAAGTCCAGTGGTTTTTATGCGTTTTCGCCACAAACATCAGCTTTTTTGTTTGCTTGCAGTAAAAAAACGTTTTTATTTTCGCGAGGATAGGGGTGCCTCAAGCTGGGAGACGCAAAGTAATTTCAAGGTTGGCTTGGTTCATATACTCTGTCTCACTCTGTTTTTCACAAGCTGGGGACATCATTTGACAACCTCAAAATAATAATTCCCTCAGAAAAGCGTTTTATGCCCCCTTTCCCCTTTTCAAGCAGAACAGAGAGCTTCTGAAAGTGTATATGCGCAGCTATAGCAATAAAAACTAACGATAGACTTGCGGTTTATTTTTGTTTTAGGGTATTAAAGAATTATTTTATTTTCACACACTTTTTTTTGTATAAAATAACCCTTCATTTTTATATCACTAAATTTTTCCTCTCTTGACTGCGGATATTTGAGCGAGGATTGTGAAGATAGGGTGTAATTGAGATATGATGAGAGAAAAAATGTCTCCTGGCAGAATTCCTCCCACGAGGCATTGCGAAATGAAGCACCTGAGTAAATACACACATTTTATATTATGCCTCTGGCGGCTCCCTACAGATTATATATGCTTGAAATGGAAAATGGAAGCGTAAAAATATAATAAATGCTTCTGACATGCACAGCTCCCGACAATCATTTTAATCGCGGCGTTTCAAATTCACATCAAATTCTCGCAAACCAAAATGTGCGAAATTCCGTCTCTTGCGCAGAGTGTATTAATATGCGTTTTCCTCATGGGAGGCAGAAAACTGTAGTGGAAATCTCTCATTTTTAACCCTTTTATGAGAACATTGAAACAACTCTACGTGCTCTAATTTCTCGCTAAATATGCAACCGAGCTACTCCCTCGGAAATGGATTTTAATTCCACACGCATACGGCACTGCAAAAAGTAAGGTTCGTATTGTCTGGTGAAAAGCGTGTTGTTAAAATTACACTGGAATGCTTTTTCCACCTCTGTGGATAAGCTGCAGCTATATCCTAGCATTTATCTTTGTGTAATTCAACGTAACTGCGCCGCGCGCGCAATTACTGCATAACAAAAAAATCGTTCTATTTTCTACGTCGAATCTGTTTTACAAGTGTTCAAGTTAAACAGAAAGGATGCTTTGAAACCCAGATACATTAAAATATTAAAAGCAAATTAGTTAATTTGTGTAAATAATAAAGAAAACGAACGTAAAATTTAAAAATTATAGTTTTTAAATTTGTATTGCTTTTAAAAATTTAATCCATATTATTTTTGCTAATGTCCTAGCTGTGATACAAAAATTTGTTCCAACTGTTCGTCAAAGCAATCTTATCTCTATTTTGAATACCAGGGCATACACAATTTTCACTTTATTTATTTTTATTTTTATTCAGTCCATATTTTCAAAGCACGACACTTGCTATTCGATTCGCGCCTTAAAAATATTGAAATTGAAGAAAACTTAAAAATACGAAAAAATGATGAGCTCCCATTCTTAATCATCAATATTTTAAATTAAAGAAATTTTGATCTTTAAATCAGCAAGAGTAGCTGAAAAATAAAATTTAAAAAAGCGAATTATCAGGAATTATCAAAGAACTATTTTTTGGCGCGCAAGTAGGAACTTTATGAAATCCTTCCGCGGCAGCTGTGATTGCGCGGGAAGCTCCACCTGCTCTCCGTGAGTGTCAAACAAACTCCCGAAATTTGTAATTATTTCGGGAAATTTGTTATTAAAAACCGAGACTGAAGTATTCTGGAGCTTCAAGATGACTTTGGAGATTTCTCCGACGCGCTACGCGCATTCTTCTGGCCACACCGACGTTTGTTTCAGTTCAGACGGCAGGTATGAAACAACAACAAGCAAGATTGACATATTGACAACTTTTAATTTTACTAGGCCAATTTCTGAAAATTAATACGTTCACAGATACATCCTGACATGCGGAACAGACTCGGACGTTAGAAAATGGTGCAGCATCGAGGACGACGACCCTCAGGCACTGGGCACCAAAAACATGAATGCGATTGCCGTCGTTTCTGTGGTTAGTTCTCATTTAAAAAAATACACACATTTTCTTACTTTTTAAACTTTTTTAGAAAGATAAAATCTACGTGTCTGGTGACGACAACAAGGTGGCGATTTACTCCCTGAAAGATATGACCAATGAAGGAATTTTAAGTCGAGCGTCTGCACCTGTTACATGTTTGTCGATCTCCTCAAATGGAAATACATTGGCCTCTGGAGGATGGTGCTATTTAAAAAATTCAAATATTACAATATTAAATTCAATTTTTTTAGTGATTTTAACATTCACGTGACTGACACCGAAACCTTCAAGGATTCTCTCTTCACGGGCCACACAGCCCCAATTCTGTCTGTTGCTATTGACCCCAAAGGAGAATTTCTTGTAAAAACCGCAGCAAGATAATGTTAATGTCACTAATATTCAAATCGCAGGCCTCATCAAGTTGTGATGGTTCTGTTAGAATCTGGGAAATCTCTACCTGCCAGAAAGTGCAGTCGTGGACAAGTTGTTTCCCAAACTCAAATGATTTTCATGCTTCAACCACTTTGGCCAGAATGTCTTGGGAGCCAAAAAGTGGCAAAACTCTGGCAGTGCCTTACGAAGACTCAATCAAGCTGTACCAGCGAGGCACCTGGAATGAAATCATGAGCATTAAAAATCCAACTGTGGTCCAGGTTTTTCATTTCAATAATTTAAAAAACTTCTTTTATGTTCTAATCGGTTTTAAATTTCAGCCTTTCAGTATTGTGAGTTTCTCGCCCTGTGGTCGACTGTTGGTTGCCACTTCCAAAGGTGGAATCTGGTCTCTCTTTGATTCCGCCTCTGGGTACAAACTGATCGCGACTGAGAAAAATCTCAGAGGAACCAATGTGACAGGCTTGGCTTGGAAGCCAAAGGAAAAGTCCCTTGCCTTTTGTAACTTTGAAGGGGATTTAGGAATAGTCACCATCAGCCTTCCTGATGATGACACTCCCCCTGCAGTTGAAATTGTGATTAAATTTATATTTATAATTGGCAAGATTTAACTTTTTTCCATCATAGCCCGAGCCAGTTATTGTTGATAACGGAATTGAAGATGGAATCACTTCTGATTTTGAAATGGACGACTTTGAGGATAAATTACTTGAAGGAAGGGCACAGTCCCGAATGAGTGCTGCCACTGTTGATGGCTCTGTGATGACAGGTATTAAAAAATAATTAAGCATTGTGCTTAAAAAAATTAAAAACAAAAATTTTAGGTCAAGTGCCTGCAGTAAAAGTAGAGGCTTCCTATTTCATGCAAGAAGCATTTCAGCCGAGTGCTTGTCCAACCCATTTGCAACGTCGATTTATGGTTAATTTTTTTTCTTCATAACTTTGAAGTATAATTAAAATTTTCTTTTTATCAGGTTTACAACAATGTGGGAATTGTGATTTCTGTAACAGATGACTCGGACACGTCTACCATCGACGTCGAATTCCACAATATTAGTGTCCATCACAACTTTTCTCTGCCAAACATATTCGACCATTCACTGTGTGCCTTGACGGAGGAGGTTTTAGTCTTGTCCGGTCCGAAACAGGAATCCACAGAGAGCAGTAAGGTTGTTGTTCAGATGCTGCAAGGCGGCGACTCTTCCCGGGAGTGGATGGTTGACTTGCTGCCTGGAGAAGAAGCTGTTTGTGTGGCTGCCGGGCTCGGCTTTGTGGCTGTGGGTACGGATGAGGGAAGCGTGAGGCTCTTCTCCATTGGAGGAATGCAGCGAGATGTTATTTCTGTCGGGGGCAAAATTGTTAGCATGGCTGCCCTTGGAAAACAGTTGATGGTCATTTTCCACGCTGGTTTAGGTAAATTAAAGATATAAATTAAACATATAAAATATAATTAAAAATTCTGGATATAAAAAAAAAATAATAATAATTTTAGGCACCAAAGCCCTTCAGAACTATGGCTATGTTGTTTACAGCATCAGAGACAACTCTGTTAGGTTTGCGAAGAGGCCTCAACACTTGACAGTTCCTGCGGGCTGCACACTCCGCTGGATTGGCTTTACTGACGAAGGCAATCCATGCTTTTTGGACTCCTCTGGGAAAATCCATGTCATATCCTCAAACAACGTTGCATACGTGCTGACAGACACAGAAAGGCTTGGGGTTAGTACTCTAATATTGAAACAAATTTTTGAAAATGATTTATTTCATTTTAATTTTTAGGAAAAGGGGGCCACTAGCCACTACTTTTTGATTGGTGTCAATGAAACTGAGATGAAATTCAGGGCCATTCTATGCAAGGGTGCCTATTATCCACCAATAGCCCCGCGACCAATTATGGGGGAGATCCTCATTCAGGTATCCTGTTGAAAAGTTCCCTTTATTCTTCATTACTAACATCACACTCTTTAGGCCCCTATTTGTGACAGTGATTCGGCCAAAGGCAAACTCGAGGAAGACTATGTTCGGACCAAAAGGGCAGCTTACTCATCAAAATGTATTGATCCCAGCACAGGAATGCCAAAGGACGACGACTATGCTGTTCTCAGCAACGTCAAGTCTTTCAACACCACTTTGCTCAAAATATTTGCTGTATGTTGATTTTTTAGGTTTTATTCCATTTTAAATAATAATTTTTTTCCAATTCAGATGGCTTGTATTGCTGATATGGATACCAGAGCTTATGACATTTACAAATTGATGACGGCTGCAGAGTGGAGAGTCAAAGCCAGGCAATATGCCCACAGCAAAAACAAAAGTAGATTACTTGAGAGACTAGAAGACTTTGTGGATCAACCGGAATCAGAGGAAGAGCCTGAAATGTAAACATTAAATAAATAATTTTTATACTAATTTTAATTTCTCTGGTTTATAGAGTTGAGGAATCACAAGAAATTGAGCCAAGGTACAAAATCCTCAGTAGGATTAACAGCACTGAATCATTTGGTAGTGGCAAAGAGACCATCGAACCAATGAAAAGTATTTTACTAGGAAAAACTTTGCATTGTTACTTATTTCAAATTTCAGTGAGCAAATTGAAACGAGCTTTGTCTTCGCAGAGAAGTTTTGAGATGTTCAGCACTCCGACTCAAAACGGAGGCAACCCTTTCAAGAAAAATGCACCTAAACCACCTCTGAGCGAGACTTTGCTGAGCAAAAACTCATTCATTGAAGAAGATGCAGAAGTAAATTAAGCCTTTTGGTCTTACTTAGCTTATATTTTATTAACACTTGATTTTTTTTGTCCAGTTTTCTCGCTCGGCCACCCCAGACAGCTTGCAAATGGATTCTTCCGATGTCAGTTCGAAGCATATGTCTGATTTTTCAGAGCAATCTCGAACCTCACTAGATACAAACAGTGTTGCTCTGGAAAGTCCTAAAGTTGTAGAGGAAGCCAAAGCAAAAGAGAATGGAAGCGCTGTAGATGGATTCAAAAAATGGTTTGAAAATAACAAGTCCAACCTACAGGCAGAATTTCCTGGGATGAAATTGGCTGATCTAAAAAAAGAGGCCATCAAAAAGTTCAAGGTATTATCAAATTATATTTGTTTAAAAAATAAAATAATGAATTTGTGTAAGGCTGCCAACAAACCTGCGGGCAAGAAACGCGGAGCTTTAGGGAAACAGGAAGAGCCCCAACCAAAAAAATTTGCTATGAAGAAACTTGATGCCTTTTTGTTTAAGAAGAAGGATGTTCCGAAGGAACCAGAATCAGTAGAAACACCAGTGGAAACTTTAGACAAGGAAGAAAACACTCAGTTTGAAAGTGAAACTCCAGAAAATGATTCTCAAAACTTAACCTTGGTCGAAGATACTCCAGAAAATTAGAATTTATATTATACACCCTCTTGATCACTCTCCAATCTTTATAATTCATAATTTTATTTTCTTAAAATAAATTTTAGATAATGATGTAAATTGCTAAATATTTATGCTAAAACGTTTATCTAGTAATTTTTAATGAACCTAAACATCTTGGTCAACGTCCTATTATTGTGTTTATCGCCGTCTCGTCCACTGTGACCATTGAACTTTGTCTTCCTTTCTTCAATATGTATTTTTGTCTCTATTTGAATCTGATGGTGCTTTTTGTCAGCCTCTGATTGGTCGCGCTAGTCACGTGATCCAAAGTCACGAGGCGTGGTGTACAAAGAGAGGTCACGAGGGTTTTCTTGCGGCTTGACGTTTTGTCATTGCCTCCGTTTGTTTTACCAAGAAATCGCAGTTTGTGGCATCCATTCTACTAAGCAGGTAATTCTTTTACTAAATTTAAGCACGCAATTGCAAAAAAGACCATTGATCCAATTTGTCAGGAGATTGGTAGATGATTCCTCAACGTAATTTAGATTAAAATACATCATCATCGACTTCTGACTATTTTTGCCAAGTTCGCAAATCTAGCAATTTGCGTCGTTTGGTTTTCACTATTGTTTCGTAATAAATATTTCTTATCCAGATCAATCAGAGCAAAAACTATACTTTTTTGTTTTCGCTAGGACTGATAATTTTTTATAATTTTCAGCAGGATAATTCAACCAAAATAATATGTTGTGGCTATTTCTTGTGGCTCTTATCGGAGCTTCGGCTGTAGCGGACGATCCTCATCCATTGTCGGAGGACTACATTAATTACATCAATTCCATTCAAACTACTTGGAAAGTGAGTAATTCTATTATGATTATTAATTTTTTTAATTCAATATAATATTATTTTTATTTTGTTTATTAAAAATTTAGATATTTGTCTATATTTTGTTATGTAAACAGCGGTTTTTAATTAAATAATAAAATGCATTTTAGATAAATCAATAATAATAATTCAATTTCAGGCTGGAAGGAATTTCCACGAGCATGTGTCCATGAAATACATCACCCGACTGATGGGAGTTCATCCTGACTCGAAATCCTACACCTTACCTGCAAAGGAGCACCTGGTCGGCAGCACTGGTTACTCTGATCTTCCTGAAAACTTTGATGCTAGGGAGGAATGGCCTCACTGCCCAACCCTCAGGGAAGTTCGTGACCAAGGATCTTGTGGATCTTGCTGGGTATAAAAATTATAAAAAAAATTATTTGAATAAACTATATTATTAATTAATTTGCAACTATTTAGGCTTTCGGAGCCGTCGAAGCCATTTCTGACCGAGTCTGCATTCACTCAAATGGAACCCTGAACGTCCACATCTCCTCCGAAGACCTGTTGTCCTGCTGCCACCTGTGTGGTTTCGGCTGCAACGGTGGATTCCCAGGAGCAGCCTGGCGTTACTGGGTGCACAAGGGTCTTGTCAGCGGAGGCCTTTATGGTTCAAAACAAGTAATTTAAATTCATTATTAAAATAAAACAAATTTATTCTAACTTTATTTAAAGGGTTGCCAACCCTACGCTATTGCCCCCTGTGAGCACCATGTCAATGGATCCAGGCCTGCTTGCGAGGAAGGTGGACGAACTCCGAAGTGCCAGAAGAAGTGCGAGGCTGGCTATGATGTCCCATACAACAAAGACCTCCACTTTGGTAGGTGTTATTATTGGTAATAGAATTTTTAAATATTAAATTTAATTTATATTAGGCAAAACTTCCTACTCGATCGAGAACAATATCGAGCAGATCCAGCGTGAAATCATGACCAATGGACCCGTCGAAGGCGCCTTCACCGTTTACCACGACTTCCTTTCTTACAAATCTGGTTAGTATTTTCTACAGAGACTAATTATAAATGATAATAATTGAAATTTTGCTCAGGAGTATACCAGCACGTGACTGGATCGGCCCTTGGAGGCCATGCCATCAAAATCCTGGGCTGGGGTGTTGAGAACGGAACCCCTTACTGGCTGGTGGCCAACTCATGGAACAACGATTGGGGCGATGGTGGATTCTTCAAGATCCTCAGGGGCCAAGACCACTGTGGCATTGAAAGCCAAATTTCTGCTGGCATTCCTGCCTAAGTAAATTAATCAAGGAGGGAGTAAAAAAAATGACGAATTTTGTATGGTAAATATTTTCTAAAAGACATAGCTAATAAGCCAGATAATAATTATGTGAAGTTTGCATAGGTTGTCGATTCAATTTGATCTGTGGAAATAATTCTGATAATTGAATAAACTTAATGATATATTTGCTCAAAAAGAAATTTAATTTGAATTATGCCGAGCTATACCAAGTTTACGAAATGTAAGAAATGTTTTAATCAGTTTTTTTAATATAAATCATAGCATCAAAAATCTGAAATTAAAATCAAAAATATTTCTGGATTTTTTTGCAATCTAAATATATTTGGTAATTAAAAAATTTATAAAGAAAAAAAAAATTTTATCTTTTCCAAAATGTTTTTTAAATACAACCTAAATATTTATGAGGTACATTGCACGTTGAGAGGCTAAGAGGCGAGCTCTCTCGCCAGCATCCTTCCCACCTTATTCCCCCACTTTCGCCGCCACAAGCGAAGCAACTTGTTCTTCAGCTCGCACGCCTACTAGCCAAACTTGAGCAGTCGGCTCGCTGGCGAACGGACCCGCGTCCCGCACTCGCGCCCCTGCTCTTTTCGGCCCGATTTGCGGCCGACGTCGACTTTGCCAGCCCATCCAACGCCACCTGCGACCTTTTTCACCTTCGCCCCTGCCGGTGCTTCGCAGGTAAGCCGCATTTCGGCCCCGTTGACCGCGAATTCGCGATTTTCGGTGTCAGGTGCATCTCGGCGGCGACACGCGAAATTTCACTTTCGGAGAAAAATCACGCCGCGCGCGCGTTTGTTTGACCGGCAAGGTTGCAGCGCAGCTTGCCTTATTTGCACTTCTTGCTGGCGAGCCTTTTAAAAACCTCTGTTTGAAATAATGCAATACAATTTTTATTGCACAACCCTTTCACACCTGTTCAGGTTTGCTTCATATTTGCTACTTTTAAATTAGTTTAAGAAAACATTGGAAAATTCAATGTTAAAAAATAAAAATAAATGATAATAACAAATTGTATTATCTACAGAATTTTAAATGATTTTGGGAAAACTTTTCAGTGAATTCATTTTTTCTGCAGTTACAAAAATGTAAATTTCATTTCTTGAAAAATTATTACAAAAATTACTATCTTATTATAAATATTTTGGAATTAGGTGCCTTTACAGTTTCTCGAAACAGCGATTGACGCCAATTGTGACTAAGATTCCGGCGTGTGATATTTATTTTTCATCCACCCTCTCACGCTTGGCTAATTTTAGAATCACGCGTTAGACAACAAATTGTGGACCAGAAATACCTCGCGCGCCAAACTCTGCCTGCTTGCTAGACTGCAAAATGCAAAGCACACACCGGTCTTGGATTTCCTATATTGAAAATTACATTTTACTATAGTCGTCGTCTCTATGAAATTTTACATATTTTTTTAACTTAAGATTTCTGAATGTGGACGAAATTTTAAAAAAGAGAGATTTGAAAATATATAATAGTTGATTTGAGTTATTAATATTAAATTTATTAGAATTTATGTAAATTTGATTGAGCTGATATGAGCTATTTTAAATATTAAATCATGATTAAAATTTCAAACAATCATAATACATCGACCGAAAAATTGTTTAAGTAATTTTTCCTGTTGCACAACAAGGTTTGACGAGAGGGCAGAGCGCGCGCCAGCACCCGCCCCATCTGCGAACACTGCAATTAAATTTAGTCCCGCTGTCTGCGGCTATTTTTGCCCTCTGATTATTTTTGCAACTCAAACTGCCTGCAGTAATTCAAAGTTCTCTGAATATTTCTTTTAAGCTCATCCCTGGCGTAACCTTGACTCGTTTAAATTTGACCCAAATATTAATAGTTTCATAATCTTGTCAAAGAGGGGACAAAAATAAAATTTGAGTTATTTTTGAGGTATCAATTTTTATAGCTCATTGTGCGGCCAGCAAGGCTGAATGTGCCAAAATGTTTGTCGCTTATTTTTATTGCTTTATTATAAAGCGATCCGCAGCTGTTTAAAATTCCGTCATTGTCTCAACCACTAAATAACAAAACGGTGTCCGGAGCAATAAAGGACGTTTCTGATGAGACATTTATTGGCACGATTTCTTTGCAAGGTGTGCTGCGGGGTGGGTGGGAGAATCGATTTTGTGCCAGATGGAAAGTGGCGACCGCCAGGACTGACCTTTGCCGCTTGTCATACAATTTCTTTGTTGGCGAATTGATGGATCGCCGCAGCCCGATTTGGATAATGCGAGGTGAGCCAATCCGGCGGCGACGCTTTTAAATAAAAGTAACGCCAGCAGACCACCAGCTTGAGATTTCCTTCAGTGCATAATAGCGATCGGCAGTTGGCTTATTAGGAGGAAAATCTTGTTGAAATTACTAAAGGTCAACCTCCAAGGTGCATGAAAAGTAAAGGTCAAAATAAACATTTAGATTGAAATTTTTCTAAGAGAAAGCAATAAAATAAACATTTTCCGTTAAATTATAAATAAGGAGACCAAGAAAAGAAAGCAAATTAAAGCCAATGAATAATTATGAATTATGACTTATTTAAAGTACAACTATGAGCAAAAATAAAACGATGCCGATATTTGATCTCATCAGAAGAAGAAGAAGAAGAAGAAGGCATAATAAATCAAGTCTTTACAACAATAGGAGCAATTTTTTGCAAGGAAAACGATTGTTAAATTGGCCCAATTTTTTTTTTTTTTAAAAACTGAATTTGTTAGGTGTGATATTAAAAAAAATCTGATAATCTTTGCAATATGTTTCATGTCATTTTAAATTTATTACATATTTTAAAAAATTTTATAAAATAATTTCGCCGTTGTTACAAATTTTAATATTAATACAAAAAGAATTGTTTTTGAAACACTTTGAGTGGTGTAACTGGAAACCCTCTGCTCGTCTGCTCTCTTGTGTCACACCAAGCCCTCCATCTTTTGTATAGGTGCACCTGTTCTCCATTAAGTTCAAAGCCACGCAAAGCATTTCCACCCCCGATCCTGAAATAACCCCATCGAATTCCAAGTTTCTTCTCGTTCCGTCATTTCCAACACAAAAGCGTCCGGTGTTTTTCTTAAGAACACGCTTCATTTGAGCGTGGTGACTAACTGAGCAAGTCACAGACCGGCGGCGTACGTGTTTCTTTAAGGGTTAATTTTAGACTTATGTATATTTTTATTTGTGCCGATGCGGCTCCTTAGCGTTTGGAGCAACTCACTTGGCGTTCCATATTTTTATTTTTCCCACAAATTTTTTTCAGTCGGACAAAAGAAGAGAGTTGTTGCGACAGCAAGGATGATCCGATCGGGGGCGCCGAGTAATTTATGGGGCCACCATTTGCACACGCGAACGGATAAACGCGCGCCGGATTATTTATCTTCTCTGTCCGAGTTGCAATCCAAACACGCAGAATTGGGTCAGTTTTACGGTCGGACCCCGGCTTTTAACGACTTCTCGCATACGGCCATAATATCGTTCTGGCAAAAGGTCTTTAGATACTTTTGGGGGTTTGCGACCGTCTGGAAACTTGGGATATGGTTTGAACTTATTGACTGATCTGATCGGTTCATAAGGATCTCTTTGAACTAAAAAATAATTTTGGGGAGTATTATGAAAGTTTCTGATTCAGAACCATTTAATTTTGCATGTAAATGTACATAAATACGCTATGACCTGGAATTCCAAATTACAAAAACACGGTATTTAATGAATAATATTAAATTATAATAATAATACTTTTACCGTCAAAAATTTATTTAAAATTTAGATTGTTTTTATTATATTTTAAATAGTGCAATTATGAACCACAATATTGATTCATTAAAATGCAAAAATGTAAAAAAAATTTAAATATGTTAAAAAATATTTTTTTTTAAATAAATGATTATAATTTAAAAATAATTATATGTTTAAATAATATGTTAGTTCAAGATAATTATGATATAAAATAGTTTATTTAATAAAATTCTAAAAGTTTAATCCTAACTTAAATTTAATTGATACAATTGATAAATTAGTCACATAAACCTTTCAGCAACTGAGGGGCAAGGGAATTATTGATAAAAAATTGAATATTAAAAAAAAATGGAAACAAGAACTCCCTATATGCTATAATGCTGTGCAAATTCAGAGACATAGAAAATATCTGCGGTTTTGTTTTTCAAAAATTTTACAATGCAATCTTAACGATTTTAATTTTTAATCAACATGAATTCAGAAAAATCCATCTATGATATTTAAGAACTTTCTACTAGTAGTTTTTATTGATTCTTGTTTCTGGTGCTCTTTTCCCTTGCAAATTTATCTCTTGCGCTCAAAGTAAATTAAAGTTGGCACGCGGCTTGGCCGCTTGACGACCTCAACACATTACTTTGACTCATCGAAACCACGTTTGGCTCTCAAGTACTGAGAAAAGCTCTCGTTCCTGAGCAGCCGGACGCGTCTGTCGAGCTTGTCAGAAACGAAATGTCTGCTTGACCTTTTGATTGAAAATTGCTTGGTGGTGAGTGGGTGGGTGGGTGGCGGGGCGCCCAGGGGCGCCAGAGTCACTTCACATCATCAGAATTGCATGAGAGCTCTTTAGCTCATTATATTGCGCGCTTTTTGATATTTTTATTTGGGTCACGTGCCTTTACTTTTTTATTCTCCACGTTGTAATAATAAGAAGAAGTGTAGTCTTTTTTTATCGCCGAGGAACACGTCATTTCGCCTCATCTGCAAAGCCGTGGCGGTGTCAAAATTTAAATATGCATTATCTATGTGTGTGTTGCCCCATGCAGAGCTCTTTCATCTGCACCCGGGAGATGATAAATGGCCTAACTCAAGGCTCTCTATTCAGATAAAGTTAGAATAGATTTTCATTCTAGACATACTGCTTGGAAGAGACAAGTTGCTGCGTGATTCAAATATAAGAAGGAGTTCCCAATCTCAAGTATAATGAAAGATCACATTTAAATAAAGTTTGAAAGATGAAATGATGAAAAAATTTAATTATGATTTTTTCGCACATAATATAAATCAAAATTAAATTTTGTGCACTCTTCAGGCAACGCTTACAATAAATGTAATTTTTTCGAAATTTCAATTTATTTAACTTCATAATGGGCTAATAATAATTTATTATGAAATTAAGAGTTCTACTTTTTATTTTCAATAGTAAATTTTCTATGGCGTTGTGAAACGTGACTATGATTGTGAATGAGACAGGTTAGTTGATATTTTATTTACAAAAGTTCACATTTTAATTAGAAATCGCCATTCTCTCAAAACAATTTAATCTTTAAAATATGTACAAAAATACAGGCAAATAGCAACATTTTGAAGATGTCCAAGAGCGAGAATTTTGTTTATTACGACCTTTTAAGATCTAAAAAAGTTCAAAAATTTTTATGTCCATTAAGCTATAGTTTTAATTTTACTTCTAAAAATAAAAATTCTGACGATGATCAATCGTGGAAAATTTAAAAGTACCCCTAAAAAATTTTAATGTTTAGGAATTTTACCCAGAAAAATGAAAAGTTTGTCTGATCTCCTGCCTCATTTTACTATATACGTGGGTTGACGTTTTCAGTGTAGGCGTGCAAGCCAAGGTTTATTGCCTTTTTACAAGGAAACGTTGATTTAGTGAATGATCAGATTTCTACACAAAAACAACTTCATTGGAGTAAAAATTTGCTCTTTATCTTCTCATTTGTCCTTAGTTGAATATTTTTCCTTGTGAGTTCCATAAAAAGCAGCGCGTCGTTTGTCGAATTTTATTGTACCGTGTAATTAGCAATTATCTCGAATTAGCAGCTGCTCGTTTGTCAGTCAAGGCTGCGAGTGGCGCGCATATATGTAAATATCGGCTATTTAGGAGTGTATAAGAGAGTGAGTGGTAATTGTATAATTTTAAGTCACTCACTCACTCGCTTCATTCCGAGAAGCGACGAGTCAAGAGAGAGATGCTGTTTGTTGCGTTGCTCATTTGCATCATTTCTGTAGGTGTCGCGCCGAAGGTGACGTCACATTCTTTCAAGGCACGCACATGTGCTTTTTTTGCTTGAGACAGAAAAAAATTATAAATTAAAATTCATCATCTATTGTATATATGGATATAAGTAGAAGGAAAATTTTCTTTTTAAATCAATGTATGGAATTTAAATGCATTCATCAAGGTTGAAACCTTTTGCTGCATTGTTCATTTTATTTCATCTTTCTCTTTTTAAATCTCGTCAGATCAAACGAGTTTCAATTCAAAGCCGTCCAGTCTCTCTGGTGGGTGACCATTTATGGCAACACGCTTGACAGGGATTATTGCTCCGGAGGCATTGAGTGAAAAAAGTAGTGATCCAGTTCAAGGGTTAGAGGTCATTCATGATCCCTGAAGATTCCACCCACCAGGCACATTTAAAATTTTATGTAGTGCTGTTTACTGGTTTATTTTATGTCATTTCTTATTCGTTTTGAAAGTGGATGATTGCAAATTAAATAATTCTTACTGAAAAGATGTGCTACCAAAAACAATTTTTAATTTAGGCGTAGATTGTTATTGAGCCTTTCATATTCTTTCGTATTGTTTTCCGTAATTTATAATCTAAATTTGTTTGTTAAAGTTAGTAGAAAATATCTTCTAGAAAATTATTTTTTGAATCAGTGCATCAAATATATTTTAAAACAAAATTAAAACACTCATTTTTATCGCATTTTATTTTTAAAGAATTTGGAAAACGTACAGATAAAAAACTTTGTAATTTTTTAATTTCAAGTTCTAAAAAATCGTATTTCTTTACATTAAAGTTCTTTCATCAGTCGAACTACAAAAAATTGTTAGGGGCCGTTAATTTGCAGGCAAAGGAAAAAATTCGGTGACGTCACAATCGGTTGGCAGCTGCTGCTCCTTTTGCGCCGGCGGGACAGCAGAAGGAAGGCCCAAAAAAGCTGAGGTGTCTGACTGCGCGCGCGGTGACGTCGTCCAATTCGAATTACGCCACTCGCTCGTCCTCCGCGTGCTCGTGAGTTCGTTCTCCGCGGGCGGCACCCGTGGGTGGTGCGGTGATTCAAAGACAATCAAGGGAAAATATAAACAGGGAAATGAGTTAATTATTTCAGATACAATTATTCCAGTGTAGTTTGTTTTCGAGGTTATCAATTGGCTTTTAATATTTGTAGCATTCAAGATTAAAATTATTTAATTTAATTTGAAAGTTAGCTAAGTCTTCTTTGCATATATTTTCTTTGCAGAAAAAATGCAGTGAGAGATAAATTGCTATACATGTATCAACTTTATTTGTATAAGCTTTACCCACAATTATTCAAAAATTATATAAATGGGAGGAATTCTTATAGTGCTTTAAATTTGATTTGTCACTTTTAATTGTGTTTAATTTATAATTTTGGTTTTTAAAAATATGAAAAAACCTATATCAAAATAAAATTGAAAAAATATGCCAACTCGCAAATATTTAAATAATATTAAAACTTTATTTTAATATAAAATTCATTAAAAAAAACTATTATTAGTTTTTTCATCATTGTTCTTAACAAATCAAGTCACAATTAAGAAACTGGAACAAAAGCTTGAATATATTTCCATTTTTAAATAATAAACCCAATCAATAAATAATTTTGATTGAAGCATTTTGCTTACAATTAGATAAAGCCCGCATTCAGAATTTCAGACAGAGGTACTTATTTTTTTAGTTCTCGTTAACAACGCAAAGTTCATCAGCTGGAAATAACCATTCATAAATTTAATTATTCCCGCATATAACCACTCTGAAATCCCACCGAATTTATTCCAACTCGATAATTGCAGCTTTTGCATAAACCCTTTCATTTCTCGCATCCGCCCACTGTGAGCAGGCAATCCGAGAAGTGCGTTTGAAATCTCTTAAATCTCTTTAATTCCTGCATGTAAATGTATAATTCCGACGGGCGAACCAGAGACGAGTGAGATGGTGCAGCAGGTTGGTTGTGCGCTGCCCACGGACGGGTAATGCCGACCAGCTGCCCACGGTCTCACATTCCCTCACTTCACTTTTGCATCTCTCGAATTTAATTTCAAGGCGCGCCGCCGCGTGTACGATGATATACACGTCTCATTATTATTTTGCTTCCTCCGCAAGCAGAATATGAATTTCATTGATGCTTTTTGCATTCTGAATGAACGCGAGTGGCCGCGTGGGACGCCACCGACACAGCAATTTATTATTTTTAACTTATTGATTTGTTGTTTCAGACTGTGAAAAATGACGAGCATTCGCCAAACAACTACCACAACTTACACCACTAGTTCAGCGGCACATCCCTCTCTTTTGGACAATGGGTCACCAATGGACGGATCACTGGGTAAAAATTCATGGAATTAAACAATTTCCTTCGAATAAATATTAAAAAAAAATTGACATTTTTTACATTGAAAGTAAATTGTCCTTTAATGACTCCGGCTCAAAATTGTGGAAATTTTTGGTGATTTAAATTTTTTAAATTATAATCTAGAAAATATAAATTTATAAATTTTTTACTACACAAATGCACATAAGAAATAAAGAAATCAATGACGTTAATGGTGACAAATTAAAAGTTTGTGATGAAAACTACTGAATAAACCTCCTAATTGTAGTTTAATTAAAAGAGTGAATTTTAAGTCATGCTTTGGTTGCCGAATATTATGTTTTTATGAAATTGAATTATTCTTCTTTTGGCCATACTTGAAACTTGAATTTTAATGTGATTAAATTCCAACCACACAACTAATTATTCATAAAGAGAGCATAAAAAATTTATTTTTGGAGAAGAATGGGAAAAAAATTTATATTTGTGCCAATTTTTGTTAGCCAACAGATACTTTAATGTCCATTATTTTATTAAAATTTATTTAAAGAAAATTTTCATTTGTCTGAATTTTTTACTATTTCACTGTTAATTTTTTTTTTTATTATTTTTTTGCAACAAAAACTGTTAGTTTCACATCAAAGTTCACTAAAATTTCATGCCCCTCTTATCTACCTTGCATTTCCTGTTTTGTTACTTTCTAACCCTATTGTGACCTTTTGCATTGCAGATTTGCTGCTGGAAGATCTGCAGAGCAGCGTGTCGCGACCCGGCTCTTCACTGGGCAACTCTTTGACCAACGGCCACGTGACCACGACCACAACCACAAAGCGCCAGCACTACGGGCACAGCCAGCAGCAGCCGCCGCAACAGCAACACGCCGGCGGGATCCAGTATTTGCAGCCGATGAACTCGACCACTGTGGTCAGCGAGAGAGCCTCCAGCCCGCACACGCTCTCCTCCTACAAGACCTACCAGTATCAGTATCACTCCTCATCTGGATCGGCCCCCCAAGGTGAATCATTATTGAACTTTTGCAAATCAGAGAGAAAGTATATAAAATAAAAATGAGAAAGTTACTTTCAATTTTAATAAAAGAATGTTTACTTAGCAACATTTTTTGCTAAATGAATTAAAAATAAAATTAAAATTTTTACTTTTTTTATCAAGGCCCAACAATGGTCCTTCATTAATGTTATTATTTATATATTTTTTTCAAGAATACAAATTTAAAAAATTTAAAATAAATATACACATTTTTTTTTTAAATTTTTATTCATAAAACGTTTCCAGAAATAACTTAAATTACATCTTAACATGCAAATTCAGATGGCGGTCACCAGCACTCGTCTCAACAGTATCAGTATCAGCAGCGCAGTCCGTCTCCCCAGCGAGAAGTGCCGGACACCCGACTTCGGCAAAACCTGAACGAACTGGACAGTCTCCTGGTTGACCTGCATCACGCACAGCAGTCAACCCCTCTGGAGCCCAACGAGCTCACCTCGGCCCAGCATGTGAGTCGCGTCGTCCGGACCTTCCAGCAGCAACAGCAGGTGGACAACCACACATATGGCACTCCAAACACCATTCGCAGGGAGCTCCAGTACCCACCGTCGCCCAAACTTGAAAGGTCGTCCTCCCTGAGTCGAAGGGCACCTGCACCTGGTGGAAGTGTATTGAGGGCGCCGTCACCAACCAGACAGGTAGGCAAAGCGCAAAGCTAGTAATAAAAAAATTATTAATGCAAACAAAATGTAGAATTATTGAAATTAAAATTAGAATCAATTAAAATTTCTAGCTTTTGTATTAAGTGCAATTGTTATTCTATTTTTTTTTTTAAAGATTTTTAATAACATATTATTTTAATGAATTCAGCAGCAAAAGCTTTCTAAACTACAATTAAAAAAACTAAAAAGAAAATTCTAAAAAGAAAAACTTTTTAGGTACATTTTTAAAAATTTGTTGTAAATTAATTGATAAATTAATTATTATTTAAGGTGACCACAACAGTGAAAACGTACACGTACGAGATTCCCGCTGACCACAGTGCCCACGTCAAACCCGTCGTGTCCACTCCCATTGTTAACACATACTCGTACGAGATTCCGATTGACCAGCCCAAGCCAGACGACACAGTGATCACCTACAAGTACGCTGGCCTGCCGAAGCCTCGCGCCCTCGAAGCGCCGAAAGAACCTCCCTTGTTGGTCGACCGCCCTCCCAACTCGTACAGCCTCCACTACACATCCACCATGCAGGGTGAGCCGCCTCATAGACCCTTCCCGTCGCCAGCCATGACCCCACCACCCTCGGCAGAACCGCCGAAGAGACTCGAGGAACTCCTCGCATCATTTTCAGACACGGTAAATTTGAATTTTATTTTGTACATTATAAAAAAAATTCTTTAGGAAAATATTCCTTTTTTTATACTCTTTACGGACAAGATATTGCATAATTGACAACTTAAAAAAATTTGTGCTAATGGAAGCTATTTTTTTTTTTAATTCTTAACTATGAAAAAGTCCAGAACGTAAAGTAAATTTCAATTTTAAGATATTTTGGTTTTCAAAAGTTTTGGTGCCATTTAGCTAATTAAGAAAATTATTAATTTATTCAAACTTTTAAAGGTGGACACCAGTGACATGCACAATGAGAATCCTGTGCCAGCAGCCCCTCTCAAAGAGTACATGACCAACGAATTGCCCCTCGCCCCTCCTTCGCCAATCAGGCAGCGAAAAATTGAGCCTGAGAAGCCACCTGTGGTGCAGCTCTCGAAAAATATTTCTGGCCCTCCGGTTTACTACCCACCAGGCGTGGAAATGTTTGCCAAGAAAGACGAGCCCATCCATGTAAGATTATTTTTCCTCTTAAATATTTCATTTAATTTTAATAATATTCAAACAACTGTTGATTTTTGGTCCTATTTGCAGGCCAAAATGAAGGAAGGCGCTTCTTCAAAAGACGACGGCAAATCTTCAGGTGGTGGCGTCGCCGCCGTCCCCGTCTGTCTGCCCGTCTGCTGTGCCATGCCTTGCGTCATTATGTAACTTAAGAACATTCTAAGCTCTTTTATACCGCAAACAGAAGTACGGGATAATTCAGATGAGTGATGGTGCCATGAGTATATTATTTCAAATTAAGTTAAAAAGTCTTCATTTCACAATCTTCGTATATAACTAAATAAAAATACTTCCGCTCAAAATAGAAGTTTTGCATACTGAGTTCAAGTTTTAAGATTTTAAGAAGGTATTTGTTTACTAAAAAGTGCTCTGAAGTGTTCATTGGTGGTGACGTACGTTTTTGGCGTCACTGTGATGTAAAAAAAGAAGCTCTTGTGAAACTCGAACTGCGTTTCTGAACTAAAATTGAGAATTAGAATAAGGTCTACAAACACACACTCCTGCAAAGATGACTGTATTTTGCAGAGGTAAAGTTTAAAAATTTTTAATCTTATTGTTAATGAGATATAAATATAATATAATAAAATTAAAAAATAAAATTTGTAAATAACAAGTAAACAAGAAGGTGAATAAATTTAAGGCGCAGTATTATATTTTGTTTTATTTTGGAATTAATTTTGTTTGGCAACCGCTGAAAGCATTAAAAGGTTACATTTTAACATATCTTTACTTGACTTAGGAGATCTGCATATTATTATGCTGATATTATTTTTGCAAATATGCAACCTGCGCAACTTACATGTCAGAAAGTTGCCTAAAATTGATTTAAAGTTAATACTAATGAGTCTTATCGGTTGAAAATAGGCCTTATTGATATTTATGACAATTTATTTCTTTTAAATATGGTTTAAAAAGCAAATTTACCCAAGTTATTGTATCAAATATTATAGCATTGATTTGTCGAAAAAACTTATTTTTTTTATAGTAAAATTGATTATTTTCACTTTTCACGACAACTTTTTTTAATAATGTTTCGCCCAAAATCCAAAAAAGTCAAAATTACTGAAAATTTCATAAAATCAACTTATTATCCTTATTATCACCTCAATTAAGTCTGAAATAAAATAAAATGAAAGCTTGAAGACTTTCAAGTTTACTTTAATTTATGGAAAAGTAGAAAACAATTTCCTTTTTTGCTTTTTAAATTATGAGTAATTATGATTTGAGAGGAATAAGAATTTTTTTGCCAAATTTTAAAAAATTATTCTCCTTTTTTGCTGCACGTGACTAAGTAGAGAAAACCGTGCCGAGCACTTACGCCACCTTTTCCCAAAACCCTTCACTACCGCAAAAACACCCATTTCGAATCTGCAAGAGTCTCAGCTCGGCACTTTGGCCGTTTCGCTCGAGGCGTTCGCCGACAATCATCAAAAGTAGCAGCAGCACCCCTCGCGTATACATAAAGATATATGAGAAATCGGCAATTTGGCGTAGCAAAACGCATGGACTAGCGAAAACTATTGCGTGGACAAAAAACGCGGCACGTTTGCGAGCGCTCGTCTCTGCCTATCTATTTCAGGGGGCGCGCGGCGGCGGCGCGAGGCCTGGTGCTCTGGCGCATCCTACGTCATTGGTTGCCTGGGCAACCAGCACGATGGAGAACCACCCCCGCCAGAGGTCTCTCCGCTCATACAGCAGCACGGCCCGGGTACACCGAGAATAAGTAGACGAGGTAAAAATCAATTGGCTTGCATGGAGCGCTGCTCCGTTTGATACAGCGAAACGCCACAGTTCTCGTGCGACCCCAATTTTCCGGACCTCATCAAAGGCCAGGTACGTGCTCGGGGGGCGCCAGACCCCTGCCTCGGCAGGGCCCGCGGCCCGGACGGCGAGAAGGGCCGAATCGGCAGCGAATCGATCCCGTGACCGCAGCTGCTGGGTGTGCTGAGAGAGTTGAAACAAGTTACGAGAGTGCAGCAGCTTATTCGGCCACCGATGCAAATTGGACCGCTTGCTTTTGCCCCCGGGGACACGTTTTTGCTCCCGGCTATATAGACGTATCGGTCGCAATTCAACGGGGAGATTGTAATCCCCTTTTTGCTAAATCTTTCTAATTAACAAATAATGAGAATGAAATTTTTGTTCGATACTTTTTTTATTTTTTAACTAAACGAGCCGTTTTTAACTCTGGGGTTGATAACGAGATGATGGTTGGCTGCCTCGTCTGCATTGTTATCCGGCTCGCTGGCTGTGTTTTGTTGCTACTTGGTGAAATTAATTTGGGGCACGCTTTGCCTGCCTCTCTTTTCATTGCGGAAGAGAGAGAGAGAGAAAGAAAGAGCTCGCTGCTTTGCCTGGATCACGCTATGACGTTTCCATTTTTAGGCTCGCACACACGATTTCCCGCCAACGATATGTGTATATTTATTGCTTGTTTTCAATTTTACGCCACCCAAATGTGCGATAAATTCCCCGCGAGTGAGTGCGCGCTCCGTAAACAAATAATCATTATATGAAAAGTGTGGTGGAGATTTCCACCTTGGATAAATTGAATCGGGCAGGTTGTCAACCTTCCGTGTACTAGCTATTGACCGGAATTAGCGCCTACGCACACTACACCCGAAATTTGCTGAGGTCGTGATCGAAATTCGGTTATCATTTGTTTAATCAAGGTTGAGGCATGCAATCAGTATTAGTCACAACGGGTTGTTAAACCTTGACGTGCACTGTTCGCCGTGAAAAACGAAATCAGAAAGTCAAATCTACAAAAGTTGCAGGTTCTGGAACTTTGTTTTGAACTGTTGATTAAAAATCGAATTATTTTACTTGTAAAAAAGTTCCTTTCTCCCATAAAAGGCGACCATTTAGGCTCAAAATTTTAGCTAAAATAGTTACAGGTTTTTAAGCCATAGTCTTCTTAGCGAGTCATTTATTAAAATTATTTGCAAGAAATGAAATTATTGGGTGTTTTAATTTTAAATTTTGTTCTGAAATATGTGAACACATTGATTTAAAAAAAAAGACGCTCCTGAAATTAAAAGAGAATTTTCTTAAAAAGTATTATTACTTGCTTGGAGTTTTAAATGGAATTTGTAATTAATCAGTAAAAATCATATTTCTTCAGAAAATAATTCAAATGGTTCGTTCATCTGATACAAATTTATACTGAATAGACATCATGATTTTTTTCTAATTTTGGGTTAAGTAAACAGAATTGCTTTGAATTAAATTTTTTTTTTAAATTATTTATTATAGTTCTTTGCAAAGACCCACGATTTTTAGATTAAACGTTCGAGCGAATAAAAAGTGTGAATTTTTTTCATCTGTCCACAAGGGAAGAAAAAAACTTTTAGTAGATTGTATTAATTTTTAAGTTGACGGAAACATTGAGTTTCGGACATAAATTTTTATCATCTTTATTAATTGACAAAATTATGATCTCCTTGGTTAGTGCTTGATATTTTTAAGTTTTTTTTTGACAAGAAAATATGATATTTTATTTTGTTGCAGATTACTAGGACATTTTTCTTGCTCATGAATTTAGGTCGTAAACTGTTATCAAAAATATCAGGGCCGTTGGTTTTTTGTGTGAATACTTAAGGAAAAAGCTAATTTTTACTGTAAAAATTTCAAGTTATATCAAGAAGTTTTGAACTATAGTTGGGTTACTTTCAAATGAAATTTTTTTCAAAATTTGCACGATTTTTCTTTAATATAATCGAGATCATTGAAAACCTTGAAAATTTTTTATTGAATATAGAATAAATCAGATTTTAACCAGGGCAAGCATTATTTTTCTTCATAAACGTCTCCTCAGTAATTAAATTTTTCAACTTAATATCATAAAAACGCAATTAATTATTATTTCTCTTTTAATCCTCGTCCTCATTTCACGAATTACAACTTCTTCTTGTTTAGCTTTTCAATTAAAAGCCGTGTGTAAATAATGCGCTCTAGATGAGCTAATTACCGCCGTGCAGTATTTTGCAAAACCCCTGCAAGAACTGCAGTTATGCTTCCCGGCGGGCACATGTGTGCAGTGGGTCTGCATAAGTGAGTGGCGGAGCACGCGCACTCGTACGTGAAGAGAGAACGTACAGCCGCGCACAATAACAATATTATTCCGGAGGTCTAAAAATAGCTGGTGCTGGAATTGCATCACATATAAATGGACGTGAATGGTACGTACATTAATTTGCTCCGAGGGAGGGAGGCGGTTGTGTCATTAGAAACATTAAAGCTTAAAGGGTTGCTCATTGCCCGCCCGCCAGCCATCCGGACAAGTCTCTCTCTGTACACACGAGGCCGAGGCTTTGATCCCCGCTGCTCCGCCGTGAAATCAAATGCTGCTCTGGGAAGCCGACAGACCTAGGTGTCAGTTTACTCGACTACTCGCGTAGGCCAATCGATTGCTGCTGCTTAGCACTACTTTAGCCCGCGTGCTTTTTGCTCTCTCTTGGGCCGGCCGGTCCGAATTGCATGTAACGGATTAACACCGTATATTCCTTCTCCCTCAGGAACAACGACAAAATCGAAATTTCACTCGCCTACTCATTCTGTTTTATGCGTTCTAAGTCAGGCAGAAAGTTTGATTTTACACACTGATAAAATTCAAATCAGTTTTTCATCGGTAGCAAGTTCGTGCTGTTTGGGAGTAATTTTACGCCAAAATTGATTAAAAACCGTTGATATGGCCCTCGGCTCAATCAAGCTCAATGTTCAAACAGGAATATCAAAGCCCCAGCCAATTTTGTGCTTGATTTATTTTGAGGTTTTAATCAATGTTCTGGGGTTTGAGCTAAAATACACCAATATCAATTTTAATGATTAATTCATATCAGTTAGAAATTCCTCAAATTGGCTGAACTAAATTATAAAATTTCTTCAAACAACGTTCACACGGTTTTAATAACGTAGTCAAAATAAATTCAATAAAATGCTTGACATCAACGTTTACTTTGTGAAGACAGTTCCGGGAAACGCCTATCAAAAATTTTATTTAATTTTTTGGAGTCAAATGTTGGTTACATGAAATGTTAGAATCTTATTTAATTTATAAATGGCTCTATTTGGAACCACTTATTTAATTTTATTAAAAATAAAACACGCAAAAGTACAACTTTTTCATCTTTACTTAATTTATTTTGTATTTATGTTATTAAATAAAGATCTATGCGTAGATGCAATTGAGATGCTTTTTTTAAATATTAATACAATTTAATTAGCTACATTGTTGCTCAAATTACAAATAAAATTTAACATTGATGGATTAAAAATTTGTGAGACAGACACACACTTTAAAAAAGTTATTTTTCGTTAGTAATTTTTAGTTCTCTCATGAATATTTTTATTGTTAGTTCAATTCCACTTCTGCACAAAAGAAAAAGAATTTTTTAAGTTGGACAAGGTCCACTCGTAAAAAGCGTTCTCAACCTCAAAGGAGTTTGAATAGCCCTCACTATTATATTGTCCAGGTCATAAACCAGAGCACGGTACTAATTTCCAGATGGAATTTTACTACCACTAAAATTTCTGCCCTCATTCGCAGTCAATACTCGCCAAGAAAACAAGAATTATGATATATGAGTGGCACGCGCAGGCGGTCTGTCGATAATATCGGAAATGAATTCCTCGTTTTATTGCCAAGCGTTCCTTCTGCACTCTGATTGATTTATGACACTGAAATGCCACTAGATTTCCGCAAATCTTAAAAGGCCGAAACAGAAATAAATATTGTGGCTAAAAGTCTCTAAAAGAAATATTTAATTAAATCATAGTGAAAGTGATCAGATTAAATTAAAATTGATTTCCTCTTTATTTTGATTAAATTACAAAAAAAAGTATAAGAGAGTCAAATATATTTTTGTTTTAAAATAAAACACGTTGATGCAGAGAAATGTGCACGATGAATTGATTTTTATTAGAAGACTTGTTCCGTTGTATTAAAAATAATTTTCCTTCCAAAAAATAAATTATAATATTGATATGCTTAAATAAAATCTGAACTCCCTTTCTCAAATTAAATCTCAAAAACTAATTTTCAGCTTTGAAAAGTAAAAAAATTAAAAATTCTCAGAAAAGTCTTATTATTTTCAATGAGTTTATAACTTTTTTTAATTTCAAATTTTTTTAAATTTTAACATGTAATTTGGTCAAATTATATTAATTCACTAAGATCCTTTGTGAGATAGGAAAAAATTAAAAAAAAAAAAAAAAAAAAAAAATTGGAAGACTTATTTTACCAAATACAAAATAATTAAAGTTCTGCCGAGTTGCGACTCTTGGAGTAGTGGGTGCAGCGAGGCGTGCATTGCTAATTACCAGACAAAACTCATCACAAATGCAAACAAGCCGCGGGAGCTAAAAATACCGCGAGATCCGCTTCCTCCGCGCCACACGGCCCACACACGCGCTCAGAGATGCGCGAAAATAATAATACGGCGGTGCAAATCCGCGGAAATGATATAATTTGGGGCGTTGTTGCTGCGGCACTGCTAAGTTGATTAAAAATTCACGAGGCTCAAATGTGTGTTGCAGGATGGCGTGGCCGGTTTAGAGGCGAGACCGTGGCATGAACGTCCAGAGTGTGGCGGCTCTCGCAGGCTGAGGGACCATTGCGCCGCACAGCATGGCCTCGGTGGCTGCGTGGCTTCCATTCGCAAGGGCCGCCGCCATCGGCTGGGTGCCCATTGCGACCCACCCTTTGCCACCACCACCCATCTCTAAGGTGAGTGCAAAAAGAAATTTCTTATTATGAAACTTTCAGTACCAAATCTTAATTAAATTAATTCATGATTTAAGTATCGACTAGACTTGATGGACAAAAATTATCAAAAAAATTATTTTTTATGTTTGTTGAAATAAAAAAAAGCCGTTTTAAATAAGGCCCATATAATTTTAATCAGATTAACTAAAGTTACAAAGATCCATTCATTTGTCACTATTTGAAGCGAATTTATAACCAATCAAATGTACTCCTCCATCAGTCTAGTTCCTTGCGAAAATTAAATTCATGAATATAATATTAGTCAAAATAGTCTTGATTTTTTTTAACCAGCACCCTTTATTCAATAAGGCGATACTAAAGAATGATGTGTATTGTTTTCAAACAATAAGGTTCAACGCGAACTCATTCAAAAGTTTAAGTCGTTCAAACAGACCACGAGCTTTCAACTTTCAATGGGAGGAACATCGTGAGTCACTTCCTGGAGATGTTTTTTTGTTTTATTTTCTTTCATAAGAAATGAAGCAATGAAAACACTTGTTTTTTATTCCCTTTGTTGGAATTTACAATAATTATTATTCCAAAGTTCAAATGTTCGAAATCTTATTTCTGCTCAAATCGAATTTCTATCATGCAGGGAAGTCAAAACTCTTTTCCCTCTGAAAGTCACTTTTAAAGACTATTCCCGTTGAGTCTGATTAAATTATTAAAATGTGAATTGACCTATATTTTATATTGCTTAAATTAATTTCTATCAAAAATACGTTGTAATTAACCACTCCTTGCGAAAATTAAATTCAGGAATATATAAGCAAAAAGATTTAATGAACGGTAAAAACAGCTATATTGATCATACATGTATCATCTCGTCCTTTGAACAAGATGCCAAGTTTTAAATTAAATTCCCCAAGCGCCAGCGTTGGTCCCAGACGTGTTTCTGCATAATTTCAAATGCTAAAATTTACCTTTTCATAACGAGCTTGTTAATTTCACATCTACAAAATCGTTTTAGTTATACTCCATTAAAAAGGATGAAAAAAATATCCCGAGAATAAAAGTAAATAAATTCAAAATATTTCTGCTATATTTTATTTGCAATATTGGATTTATTTTTTTTTATTTTATTTGTGTATTAATTAAGCTTTGTGTTCCAGGACCGCAGAAAGTCAGAGGACGAGAAGTTGCTGATCAACGTGTCGGGGCGTCGGTTCGAGACATGGCGCAACACGCTGGAGAAGTACCCGGACACGCTGCTCGGCTCGAACGAGCGCGAGTTCTTCTACGACGAAGACTCGAAGCAGTACTTCTTCGACCGCGACCCGGACATCTTCCGGCACATTCTCAACTACTACCGCACAGGCAAATTGCACTACCCCAAGCACGAGTGCCTCACCAGCTACGAGGAGGAGCTCGCCTTCTTTGGCATTTTGTCCGACGTGATCGGCGACTGCTGCTTCGAGGACTACAAGGACCGCAAGCGGGAGAACAGCGAGCGCCTCATGGACGACAAGCTGAGCGAGAACGGCGACAACCAGAACCTGCAGCAACTCACAAACATCAGGTAGGACCAAAATAGTAATAGAGAAGGAATTCAATGATCAAGCCAATTCAAAGACCTCCTCAGAACTAGCATTCTGTTATTATATTAGATCGATAAATTCTATTGTCTGGAAATTTAAAAAAAAAATTAAATCATAAACTATAATTTAAGATCCTGATAAACCCTTCAGTGAAGTTTCAAACGTTTTTCAAAATAAAATTTGTATGCATAGGTTTTATAAATTTCCAAAGTTTTCAAGTGTCAACCATTAACCAAACGATTGCTTGATGAAAAAATTTGCTAATATTTTCAAAAGATAATTATATATTTATATAAAACTCCTTTGAATCCAAAGATCTATCAAGATCCTGACGAAGGAATTTAGATTTTCTGAAAATGCTCAAAAAATGTTTTATATTTCCTTTCAAAAAGTTTAAGTTGAATCAAATCAATTGACTCTGATTTGAAACGGTTTGAACGACGGTTAACTTATGAGATGAACTTTGCGTCTTTGATTGTTGGAAGAACCAATGAGAGACCTTTTCCTAATCATTAAATTCAAATATTTTTATCCCTAAAAATTTTAAATTTCAAGTCATTTTTGCAAAAAATTACAATTTTCATTCAACATATTTAAAATTGTATCGGTGGAGGTCCTGGAGGTCCTTTAATTTTTTTTCATTTAACTTTAACTGAATAAGACGCTCCCTGGAGTGAATACGTCGTCGTCCTTTCGTTCATTTTATTTTTGTTTATTTATTTACACTGTTGCACCAGCTCGCACATACTCCATCCGTTTGTTGCTCTCTCTCATTCACAGACAAAAAATGTGGCGCTCGTTCGAGAACCCGCACACGTCGACGTCAGCGCTGGTGTTTTACTACGTGACCGGCTTCTTCATCGCCGTCTCGGTGATGGCCAACGTGATTGAAACTGTGTCTTGCGGCATCAAGCCGGGACGCAGCGGCACCCTGCCCTGCGGCGAGCGCTACAAAATAGTCTTCTTCTGCCTTGACACGGCCTGTGTCATGATCTTCACCGCCGAGTACCTGCTCCGCTTGTTCGCAGCTCCAGACAGGTGAAAAAATTATGAGAAGTAGTAAAAAAAAAACATATTCAAGGGGTCGTACAAAAAGTTCTTGGGACAGGGTGGGTTTTATGTTTTATTTATTGGAGGAGTGTATACTAAAAATAGGCTCGAGGAATTTTCGTGACCATTTTTTTACTTGATTTAGTGCCATTTGTAGAGACGTCTTATTGATTTTAGGGCTAGAATTTTATTTTTATTTTTATATCACATTTTTCACAGATTTCTCAAACCTCAAACAGAGACCTACTTAAAATTTTGCATAAAAATCAACATTTTATCCATTTTCGCAGTTTCAATTTTTTTTTTGCTTTTTAAAAAATTTACTCCTGAACTATAATTAATTTTGGTAGGTTTTTTTTTTGTATGGGGAAGATTTATATTTAATGATATGTCTTTCTCATTTCCAATTCCATTTGTATTTTGTGAAAACCGGGAGTGTTGAACTACTTGCTAATGGCTGAGTTACGCATGCAGGTGCAAATTCATGCGATCGGTGATGAGTATAATCGACGTGGTGGCGATCATGCCGTACTACATCGGCCTCGGCATCACCGACAACGACGACGTGTCCGGTGCGTTCGTCACGCTGCGAGTCTTCCGAGTGTTCCGAATCTTCAAGTTCTCGCGGCACAGCCAGGGGCTGCGAATTCTCGGCTACACGCTCAAGTCGTGCGCCTCCGAGCTCGGCTTCCTCGTCTTCTCGCTGGCCATGGCCATCATCATCTTCGCCACGGTCATGTTCTACGCCGAGAAGAACGTCGAGGGCACCAACTTCACCTCCATTCCAGCAGCCTTCTGGTACACCATCGTCACAATGACGACTCTCGGGTGAGTAGCCTCTCCTTCCTCCACCACACACCCATCCTCAAAACTCTTCTTCGTAAAAACAAAAAAAGGAAAATATCGCAAAATTTCAGACATATTTGAGAAAATAATCATACAATATGCAGCTGAGAAAAGAAATCATCGGATCAAAAAGGTTTTCGCATGTGACGATTCCCGAAACGCATTAAAGACCCACACAAGATTATTATTTTTTTTTAATTCTGGAAGTAGAACAAATTCATGACCAATATTGAAATTGCTATGAAAAATTCACTTAAAAAATCATTTTTGATGTCCAGAATGCTCTTTTAAGGATTCCTTTTTGGCATAGTCAAATCAAGTCTTTACAACAATGTAGGTTAAAATTTCCAATTGTTGTCCTATAATTGCCAAAAATGGCTGTTATTGTTGTAGTGCTTTGATCTGTACGAATTTTTTATAGTGATTCGTCAGTCATGAAAATTGTCTATTTTCAGAAATAGAAATTAAAAATTTGCTGAAGTGGGTCTTAATTTCTTTTTCTTTTTTGTTTTTTTGTTTAATTGTAAATAGACAATATAACGTTTTCAGTAGTTAGTCTTGTTTTGATTTTTATTCTTTTGCAAAACATACATTCGATTTTCTCGTCGAATTGATTTTCACGCTCGCTTTTGACATTTGCGGACCGGAACCGAGGTTTGCGAATCCTGCGGGACGCGCAGTGTGCGGCGAAGCATGCTTAATTGGCTTTTGCCAGCAGGGGTCATTCTGCTGCTTTCGAGTGTCATCCTCGTTCGCACGGAGAGCAAGCGAAAAAAAAATATGTACAAACACACGTGTGCGCTCTATAAAAAGAGAAAGAGAGAGACACACACACCGGTCGCGCGTATATATAAATAAAAAGCAGCATTTCGGAATCGATAGGGAAGGTCGAAAGAATGCCTCGGAAATTTTAATTTTCTACTCCTCGTGTAAAACATTTGCATAACAAGAGAGAAGAATGGAAATTCAATTGGCCCTCTGTGTATATTTTCGATCTGCGTGCTATTTATTTTTTATTGTTATTATTCCTCGCCTCAAACAGAGTCGTTATGCAAATCGAAACCGTCTCGTCTAGATATGTATTTTTTTCCTTTTGTTCTCTTTAAATATAAATTGTCTTTTTTTATATATATGCTTCGAGTGCCACATCACGCGAAGAGGCATATCAATATTTGGGTGTCAACACACGCAGCTAGAGAGGCGCGCATCGCACGGATCGCTATCGTGCGGTTGGCAGAGCCTTTCGACTTTGGCGCGCGCCAGTGTGTTTGACCTCTTTAGATTATCTCACGATCGCGTTTCTCGTCGGTCCAAGAGTGAGTGAGTGGGTTTGTTAGTTCAATAAGACGTACGAGAGAAAGAAAAGAAAGTGGATTTTAATCGATCGCTTCCGAGTCACGTACTGCATTTTCAATATGCATTCATCAATTGGAATTTCGTGCCGGATGGAAATAACGAAATTCTCCCCGAGGGAGTCGGAGAAGAAAAGCAACAAGAAGGAAAGGCCGTGATTGAATCGCTCGCAAATCCGGCCGCAGAGATTGATCCAATTTTAATCCTTGTAAAAAGCGGAGAAGGGATGAACGCGGACATAACCGCTTTAATGAGATGGCCCAAAAAGGGACGAGTTTGAATCGCCCCATCGCGGCTGGAATTGGCTCCTTAACATTAAGCGGTCTTTAAAGGCTTAAGGGAAATCCAGCCAAACCACAATCACGACCCTAACTTGTATCTTGGCAGGTTCTTCTAAACAAGAAGTAGAAATCTAAGGATTATAAAATCGTTTTCCACTATAAATTTAACAACTTTTTATTCTAATGGTATAGGGAAAAAATCAATTTTAATTCTGACGAATCCATGGATATTAGTTTTGATCCGTCTACATGTTCAGAATCAGTTATAATTACTAATTTTCATACTTTGGATTATTATTAAAATGAAAACTTTCTATATTTAACAAAAAATTAAATTTCTGCGTCTATATTTGCATCTTTTACAAAATTTATCATCGTTAAAATCACAATTATTTTGAGATTATTTTGATTTAAATTTTAGGGTGATGCAAATGCCTGATCTGGCCACATTTATTTTTATTTATTGACAATGACATATTACTCGTAACTGTGCTTTTTAAATGTAAGGAAGAAAAGGAGGTTTGAGGTTTCTAAAAATGAACTGAATGGCTACAATTTTAATTCATTCAGCCGCTGTCCAACTATAGCTCAAGCTAGGTTAAACTTTTGGATCGCCATCAAAATTTGCTTGTACTATTTAAAAAGCAATTTGAATCCTCTTTCAGATAGGGAGATTCTGAACAAGTTAATTTCTTGTTAAACTTTCAAGCAACTTTGCACAACATATGTGCTAATTTGCTAAATCCGCATTATACGCAGTGCTGATTTCATTGAATTATTCAGAGAGCGGCAACCAAAGCTGCACAAGTTTCTGCCGAGATTGTGAACTCGTCCTTTCACTCCCACACAAGCGAGAAGCGTTGTGTGTACTCGATTTTCTGCGGTAATTTCGTAGCTGACGCGGAATTGGGTTAATGGGCAACTCGATTCCCTCGGATGCACACACGGCGCGAGATGCAGCGACACACAAATCCTGCGCACGCATACGCACTCTCCTCTTCTCTTTCTCTGCGTCGGCACCACGTTGTTTTACTCACTCGGTGGCTCGGTCGGCTTCTGTGGGAAGAGGCAATATGCCAAAATGCGTTTAACGACACGCGCTCTCGGCCGCTTTTTTTAGCCGCGCGATGCAATTGTCCCGCCGGCCGATTAACGAACGGACGAGCGAATTAACCGGTGATTTGCTCCGCTCTTTTTTTCTGACACACATGTGGCTTTCACACACACACACATACAGCGCCTGGCCGAATTGTGATCGATTGAGCTGCGCGTGACGTCATTTCGAGAGCGACCTTCCTTATACTCGCGCAGCTTAATTTTTTTTTAAACGGACACGCTAATCTGGCCGCCGTTTTCGGACAATTAAATGTAAAAAGAGAGAGGGCGGACTGGCCGCGGCCAGAAAACGGTTTGCGGAGCGATTTGTCAACGTGCGTCCGTCCAATTAGTCACTTTCAGAGCTGGTTTAACGTTCCTCTCTCGTTCCATTAAAATCGCCGGCAGGGCTGTATAGGCTGAAGCCAAATTCATCGCGATGCCCTTGAGCGGTCGACAATGAGAAAGAGGATTTTATTTAATCCTGGTACGAGTTTTAAAATTAAATAAAAATATATATTCCAAAATACTAATTATGCTAAAAAAAAACATTTAAAAAATACATGTATTTATATTAATTTTTACACAATTTTTCTAATTTAAAACATAATTATTTATTTGAATCTATTTGAATTTTAACTAGACAGGGATATTTGCATATTTGCAATCATGCCCAATGTATTCAAATCTTTCCGTAAATGTCACTAATTGTAAGTAAAATTTGACTATATATTATTTTTTCTGCCGACGTAGATTGTGAAAATCAAAATTTATAAATAAATTTAAGTAGTTATGATCTGCGTCATCTAGAATTTTTTGAAATAAAAACAATTCTTATTTGTCTGGTTGACTGAAGAAACTAAATTTAGGTCAAGAGTTTCCATCCAAATGACTTGTCTTTGTTGGAAAAAAAAAAAATCATTTTTAATAATAATAAATTATACAATTTCTGGCATCCAATTTATTAGATTCATATTGAAATAGAATGCCATGATTTGTGTAACAATTCTGAAACATTTTCAGTTTCATTATAATAGACAATGAATCAAACGCCCACAAATGCGTAAAAATAAATTCTAAAACTAAAACGTCTTAAAATTTTACACAGTGAACCTAAGTTTTCTGACCATTAATATCCTCATGGTGCATTCTAGAAGTTCTTTGAAGATATTCTGAATTATCCATCTAATTTTAGAATTAATATTTTTACTTACCATATTTAACTAATAAAAATTAATTTCAATACATAATTCTTTCCAATAAATAAATCATCAATAAAAATAACATAAGACGGTATATATGAAATTTAACATTCAATTTACTGTTGGTTACAACCAGATTTTACAGCTGTGACACTGAACGAAAAATTTGGCCCGGACCTAAAGAGGTTAAACTCGGAATTTTATCTCGGACATTAAAGCAAAGAACATTTCTCCTTTGTGCGCGGGTCTTGAACTTATGCAACCTGCGTGACGCTCGTGCATTCACGGAGCATAAATTACAGGGGCCGTTACTCTCGTCGCTTTACTTAGACCGGGGGTGAGATTGAAATTCTCGGAGCATTCTTTTGATGTTTCTGTACACAAGCGTGCGGAAAACTTTGAATCCGGATTTAGTTTTTCATCACGCGCGGTGGCATTTATTAATGAAAATTAACTTGATTAACAACTACTTTAGTGTGGAACTTTCTAAAAATCTTCCTCTCGTAGTGAATTGAAATTTAGACGTATAACAGGGACAAGAAAGGCTTTCACTGATTCAGAGCACAAAATCCAAATCGGGGGGTTGGCGGGGTCGATCCGAAGCAATTAATCCCGGCGGTTGTCAACGATAAGAGTTATCTATATGTGCAGGTACGGCGACATGGTACCCAAGACGATTGCCGGCAAGATCGTGGGAGGAGTTTGCTCTCTCAGTGGGGTGCTGGTGATCGCCTTGCCGGTCCCTGTAATCGTATCCAACTTCAGTCGCATCTACCACCAGAACCAGCGCGCAGACAAGAGGAAGGCGCAGAGGGTCTGTACTCGTCGGCGCCTCGCTCATGACCTGCTCCAAACCCCCTCTCTTTCGAAACGTTCAAAAATTCGCTGCTTCCTTTTTGCTTCAGTTCGCGTCCGACAAAATCTCACGGCTCCGACCGGGGGCGGTTTGCGAAAGCGTCGGCCACACTTGCCGAAATCGGGCATGCAATTTATCCGGTTAGGCCTGGGAAGCTCCGAAAAAGTACTGCAAACGTACCAAAACCAAAACAAAAATTTCGCAGGACTATTACAATTTCGTCCGAATTTCCCAGTCCTAATTCTCGTAATCAAAATGCAAATAGTTTGAGACTTCAGGCACTTATTACCGCACACTTCTCGTGAGCATGCGAAACACCAGTTTTTGCTCTGGTTTATATATTAATATATAGTTTTTTTTCTCTTTATAAATCAGTCGTTCCGTGACCACATTTGTCGAAACAATTTCACCGAAAGCACTAAATTTTCTAGAGACTGATCTGACAAATGGTTTCTTGAGAGCAAGTATGACACCTCACTCGTGTGTCCGCCACGTTTCTGTCAACAGTCTAAATGTGACGTGCACAGGAAGTGTCTCTTTCGAGCACTAGATCTGTCTATTTCTTGTGTCTAGATTTAAAAAAAAAAGTTCAGGTCCCTCTGATCAAGCAAGTGCTGTTTTCGAAAGAGTGACGTGTAATAATTAGCCTATTGCGTATTTCTGCATGCCTGATTGCGAAGTTTCGTAAGCCGCAGCGCACGCCGGAGTCCTGAGATGCGCCGGGCGCGTTTCAAGAGTTCATTCTTTTTTGTTCTCATCTTTAGTTCCATTCACGTTCGCTTGATTTGCCGATTTTCCGAGAGTTTTTGAGTTTTGACTAAAGTTTGTTTGCTGTAGTTTGAGTGAAAAAAAAAGAAATTACTAGTTTCCTTTTCTAGAAAAAAGTCCAGACGTTTTTTCCCTGTGTTTGACGCCATGAGCAGAGCAGGGCTTTAGTTCCCGATCCCTGTTTTCTCTTTTTCTCGTGACTAACAAACTAACCGAGTGCGGAGCTGTGGGGCCACATCTCCGCTCGCGTAGCTTTTAACTGCCGCAGGGGTACGCTTTTGGTGCAACAAAAAAACACCGAGGGAGCTTTCGAATGATCTGCTCAGGAGTTCAAGCCACGGAAAAGCAAACCAACTCCTCCTGCTTAGTCGTTTTCTATAGATTTTACATTTTTCTTGATTTCCGTTTTCGAACCCTTGCTCATTAGTAAACTCTCAGCGTAATGTATAACTTTTGCTCTCTTCCTCTATTTTCTTATCCGTATACAAATTTAATATCTGCTGCAATTTCCAAAAATCTTTCCACACTTATTTATGCGCAGTTAGAAGTTGAGACTTGAGTAGTTGGCACACAAAAATATATCTGACTCATTTAACCATTGCATGCCGTTGCTCAAGAGTATAAATACGGGGGTTGCAAGCGAATCAAACTATTCAGTATACTGCATGAGCAGATTTTTTTTATTGTAAAGAACTGCTAAGTAGGAAACATTGTAAATCTTCAATATGCTTAAATGGACAGAGAAATTAAGGGACGACCCAAAATAGGAAATTTGTTTATTTCTTCCTCATTTTCTGAATTTACAGAGGGACCAAATTGTAATTATCATCAATTTGCTGAGAAAATTAACAACAAAGCTAATAGAACATTGATAAAGCATCTCTTCATATAAAAATGTAAAAAATTATTCAGTAAAAATATAATTAAAAATTGTTTCTTGATTAAAAAAAGAAAATAACATAAAAATCTAATTGAATAAAATTTAAGCATGTTAAAATATATTTCTGGTTTTACGTTCAACCTTTTGTAAAACTTTTAATTCATTATCATTAATTAATTAAAATTTTATTGAATTACTATTCACTTTTACAATTGAGGTTTATAAGTTACATAATTATCCATGGTGAGATCTTAAAAACAAATTACCATCTTTCGTTTTTTGGGTCACCTACTCAATTGGCCAAAATGAATAAAGATTGAAGATTTCGATGTTGCCTTTTTAAGCACTGTTGGTAAAACAACACGTCTCGCAGTGAGACGGCAAAAATGTCTCTCAGTGCATTGAAAATCATCGTCTCGCAGTTTGACACGCTCAGTCTCCAGAAATGCTTTTACTGCCTCATTCTGAGCCGCGCTCGATTATCAGCAGTGCGAAACTATTATACTTTCCTCTGGTATTGCTATACAAAACTTCCATCTATACTTCTACTATTGCATATGTATATTTTTGCCGAGTATGACGCCACCATATTTATACAAACACCGAGGAGCGCTTGCCAGTTTTGATTTTCGATTCTGTATCTCATCTCCTCGCAGGCTGTTTATTTTGAGCTCAGTCGCTACACCGCATATAAATTGTGACTGACAAAACTGATCTCATTCAGCCATTTCCACTCATTCAAACATCAACAGTTGCCAAATCCAGCATCCCTTTGTCCTTCTCCATTGACCGAACAACCCCTTCTTTCTATTCGTCTATGGTGTATATATATATAAATTTTTGTGCTCGGTAGAGAGTAGCCAAGAGCTAATTGTTTGCGTACTATGTGCATGCCTCTCCACATTGTCCGCTCGCACCTGGAGTGGCGTCGGATTTTTTTCAAGCCACTCCACGGACACACACGTTTTGTGCTCCCCGTTTTGGTTTTTGTAGTGGTGCAAAAAGAGTGAAAAAGAAAAGCGCCTCACAAAGAATATCCCCTCACTTTTTTTACTCATTGAAAACAATTTATGAAGAAAAACAATAGGCTTTGAAGAACTCTCCTCTTTTTCTGTTTTTCTCTTTGGCTTTGGAATGCTTTTTACATAAATTCTAAAATCTTTCAATTAGTGAAATTAATTCTAAATTCAAATGCATGTGGATGTACTTCTGAACGTGGATGTGAAAGAAATACATTTTTCTCGTTTTACTCTGGACATTTTTCTGCAGTCAGATTCAACTTCACGCCCCTTGCCACTCTGTCCGTCTCTTTTTTGAGATCTTGCAGCAGGTCCTTTGCGGAAGCGCAAGGGCCGATGGCAAATGAGGACTGTTTTACAGAAAGCAAGACTGGCGCGAATTCGCATTGCCAAAGCGTCGTCGGGAGCCGCGTTCGTCAGCAAGAAGAAGGCCGCCGAGGCGCGGCTAGCGGCCCAAGAGTCCGGTCTAGAGATGGACGACAATTACAGAGAAGAGGACATCTTTGAGCTGCAGCATCATCACCTCCTCAGATGCCTTGAAAAGACTACAGTGAGTCACACACTACTGCTTGCTTTCCGCTTTCGACACTCGCTAACAAACTGACTAAACACTCTCTCTAAACATCAAACAGGCACGGGAAACTAAATTCCAGCAGACGGCCGGCCCCTTATCAAAATTTCACCGTCCGCCTTGTGCGCTGCATCTTTTATATCCTCGCCCCAAAGACCGGCTATTGTCTCGCCTACCGTTTTAGAATTATGCAACGTGTCTGACCGCCGGGTCATGCCGGTTGCATAGCAATCGATAATCCAGGCGCCTATTGTGCACAAGACCAGCATAATGCTGCCCTCCTTTTTCATAGTCAGATGTGCACAGATTGGCCTGCTCGAGGCTAGACGTCGACTGGCTCAAAACATAAAATATCTTGTTTTCAATTAAAAAATTATCCAATTCATTTTTTATGTAAAAGCTATTCAATGAAATTTTAGTTAAAAATAAGTTTTATTGAAATAGGGTCAGTACAAAATTTACATTAACTAAGGTTTGACTAAAAAAGAAAGCTTGTATATATATATATAAAAAAAAAACTTAAATAAATTATATTTAATTTTCAGTGTCGTTTTAATTTTTAAATTTGGAGACAACTACGTAAAAAATCAGAAACGAGATGAATTCAGAACTGAAAATTTGTCCACTCAAAGTAGTATAATCTTTTGCAATATTTGACTTCTCCTTTAGACGATACTCTTGAACATCTATTTAAAAATTTTATATTACGATTTTCCAGTGTTTTTGAGACTTTTGCAGAACTGACTCTGTTTTTCTGTCTGCCAAGGACCGTGAGTTCGTCGAGATGGAGGTGCCGTACAACGGGCAGCCGAAGAGGCCGGGTTCACCGTCTCCAACGGCCAGTCCGACTCACTCGACGGCGAGCAACACGGGCTTATTGCAGGCGTGTTGTGGTCGATGTTGCGGCCAGAGGTATCAGGTAAAAGAAAACAAAACACATTCTTTCACCGACTGGTGTGCGCCATATTTTATATGTAACTACTAGTTTTTGTTTCTTTCTTTTCTCCACGTACAAAACATACATTATTTTACACTACACTATAAATACCATTCTCATTTATTTTCCACGGTCAAGACAAAATGCAAATTACTAAAACATGACAAAAAAATTTTTACTATAATTTTATTGATTTTCATAATTATTGAAGAACAAAAGGAAGGCACAGAATCTGATTATTCCTTTTTTCCATTTACAGAATAACGAAAACCAAAAGGACACAAAACAACAATAGTAGATGATTTTTGTATCACACACATTCTCATACAGCTGTTAAGGTAGATAATAGACCCACTATACAATGATACATATTTGCAAATTGTGTGCAAGAACAACAGCAACAACAAATTTCTCCTCGGAAAACAATTTTTACGCAAAAAGTAAAACTGGAAATATTTTTTTTTAAATAAGCAATATCAATAGGACGTTAATATTTGATTAAAAGGCATTTTTGCCCAAATATTTTTGTATAAATTTAAAAATTTTATTTACAAACTTAATATTTTGCATAGTAAATTCCCTATATTGCGTATGAAATAATTATTATTTTGATATTTCGAAGAGATATTTGTTCGAACACTTTACTTTGATGTGAGCTTAATTTTTTCTACTACATACCTTTATCTGACCGTTTTGCAATTTTGAGACACCAAAACACGTTCCTCGTCACCACCCACCCACTGTCTGAAATTCAAATCACGCCCCGCGGTGGGTCGCAGACAGAGCTGGTTTTTTGGGGTTCGGTAGTTCGCGTGCCAGCCAGCCAGGTGATAAGACGATACCAGCCTTGGCCTTGGACGGCCGAGCTGATGGGAAATCTGATCAAAGGCAAACTAGCTCTGGCCCAATTACATTCATCCAGTTCTTAAATTAGACTCTAGAGGCACACGCTGCTGGCTGTTACAATTCTCGCCGCCACGGCTCGTGAGATATAAATTATATTAATATATTTGCTCACACAAACATGCTCACAATAATCATTGTTCGTACGTGGGTTATTCTCCTCTCTCACACACAGAAACACTCACACACGATTACACAAGCACCCAACACTTTAACACACACGCCGAGTTTATTTATTTATAATTATTAAATATATCATTGCCGCGGATTTTCAATAATTTCGTGCAACCTCGATATTTTTCATATCGTTGTATTACATAGCGAGTGTATTTTCAACTGTTACTATAAACATCATTTTTTGAATGTCCGAGTCGCTTTCATCAATTTCCTTCACAAATATGGATTTGTTATATTCTTCTATTACTTGTGGACTCTTTGACACGCTCATATCAATCATATGGTTACACACCACTACATATTTTTACAGTGCCAGAGATTCTTCCTTCTTTTGCCTTTCATTCCTACTGTGCTTCAACTGATACATTTTTTGATTGGATTTGATACTAATTACTAACAAACACAAATTACCCCGGCTAGATTCTCGACTGGGGGATTTATTTTCATCAAAGGGGTCAGAAAATCTCCTAATTTTCATTAATTCTGGTAGATCTTTGCGAAATGATTAAAACTGTTTCATATGAAATCGTTTTTGGTCAAAAATTGTCGAAATTATTATATTTAAACAGCCTAGAAAATATATAATTTTTTTCATTTATTGTTCGTTGATTTTAATCAAAATAATTTTTTTTAAATACTTTATATTCTTTGCAAAGATCTATCACATTATGAAATAATATTGATTTTCTGATTTTTCCAACCCCTTTTTAACTGATGCTTTGCTTGTGCAAATTGCGAAAATTTCCTAAAAAAATCAGTTTATACCATTAAATCTCGGATAAATTTGCACTGGAAAAGCTAAAGACCAAAAAGGCAATTTTTTATAATTCTTCTCCAGAACATACGCATATTTTCCAATTCCAAATTCAACTCTCAATGTTCTTTTTATAATTTATTTGAATTAAGATGTTATACGATTGATCGGTAAAAAAGCTGTCAAAATTTTTTTTGTCTCTTTAAATTATCAATATTGATATATAACTCGATAATTTCGCTTTTCTAATATTCGGATTTTGCCCCTGCCCTTCTCTATCTCTCTCTTGCTGGTGCGCACTCTTCAAAAATGAGAAGAGCATTCCCTTCCTAGCTACCAGCCCCGGGAAAGACAAGGTTGTTCTAGTTTACCAAGACAAGATCGAAGTGCGCACAAAGGTAATAACCCCATTTTCCAGACACAGTATTATATATATCTGATTAAATATACATATTATTATAGCAGAAAATTCTATTTTTATATTTTTGCATTTCGATTCCGTATCAAATATATATTATATATTAGTTTCGTGAATCTCCTTTCCTTTCTTTATATAAAACTTCTCCTTTGTTCTCTCTCTCTCCTGCTCTCTGTCTTCTTTGGCTTTTGACCCTTTCTTTCTTTCTCTGTCGTTTCTGAAAGTCTGTTTGCTCTGTCAACTTCTCAAACATAGCTCCTCTTTTATATAAAATACAAATGCCTGCTCGAATTTTTGCTCCGACTGCTAATTCGGGCCCGAAATTCATTATCATCAAGCCTGGAAAAGCTAGGTGTCGGAGCGGACGTGTCTTGATATAGATATATATCTTTCTCCTCTCTCTCTCTCTCTCTCTCATTTGACACAAAGTGCATGTTTGTTGTTTGCTAGCTCGACTGCCGACTGAATGACTCTGTGTGTTGCCTGCTCGCTTGCCGGCGCATGAAGACTAAGTGCCATTTATGTAAATCATACTCGTCGACTTCTCTTTCTTCCTCTCTCTCTCTCACTTTTATGTGTATGCAGCTTTCTTCGTTTTTTATAGAACTGCCGTGCATGCTTTCTTCTCTTTCTGTCTCGAGAAATGCAAGGTTGCAGAAAGAGAGAAATAAGACGTGACTTTTACATTAGGCCATTCAAACAAACGAAAGAACCAACGCCGTCTTCGGAGCGCGCGACTGATGTTGTATACAAGTGAAAGCGCTGCGAGTAAAAAAAAAATCGTTGCACACGCTTGATGCGCCACTGATTGCTTTGAAACTGCACTTTTTTCAACGGTTCATTAGTCTTTTCATGTGGAATCAACATTATAGATTGTAGGTCTCAAAAAATATTCTCTGAATAAAGACAAACAATCTTGAATTGTTTTCTTGAAATTCTGATATTATTATTAACTCAAATTTTGTACCATTTTGAGTTTGAGTTTGTTATAAAATAGATGATGAAATTATTTATATTTATTATCTTTTTTAATGCTAACTCAAACCTTTCTGTACAGGTGAAAAATGTTTTATTATATTAAAAATTAGTGTGAAATTTTATTTTAATAAATTTTTTACACACATAATTTATAAAATATTATATTAAAAAGTACTTTTGATAATTTTTATTTTATAGTATTTTTTTAATTATTATTATTTGTAATCAAAAAAAAAATTTAAATTTCTCCACTAACCAGCATATTCAAATTTTAAAATTATTCCGCTTGAATTACTTTTGTGTCATTTTATGAAAAGTTAGAATTTTAACTTGCAAACTGTAAAATAATTCATAAGTCTTAGTAAATGATGGTCTGCATATTGAAATTAGAAGCTACATAAAAAAATAAACGTAACTCGTTTCTCAACTTGCTTTGTTCTTGTTGACAAAGCTGTAAAAACTGCAGCGGTGTGAGTCCCGGATTAGAATCAACCAAAATAATCCTCTCTTTCCGCACAAAGTTTGTCCATGGGGAAAACAGAGAGCTTTTTTAATGTCCTCGAATCGGAACGAAAAAAAATAAAACAAAGCAATCGGCGGAGGGCATCTGGCGGTGGTGACGAGCAGCGCGCCGTTGCTTTATTATTTCTGAGACTGAGGGTTGCGCTGTTGCAGAAGCAGCACCACCGAGGGGCGACCCCGGACACGGGTGGCGTTCAAGAGGAGGAGCTGAACGACGTACGGTCGGCCAGCGAGGCCGTCTCGAGGGCCAGTCTGAATCAGACGGCCAAGCCGAACTCGACCACGTCGACCGCCTCCGTGGTGGTCAACCTGCCGTCGTCCTACCCCGCCTCGGAGGTGCTCGAAGGGCAGCCGCCGCCGCAAGAGGCCCCCTCGGACGGCAAGCAGCAGTCGGTGGTGCGCATTTCCACGTTATGAGACCGCAGGCAGTGATCTGTTGTGTGTCTGTTGGTTTGTGTATAAACTCGACCCAGAGTGGCAGGAAAGAAAAAAAAAAGAGAGAATCACCCTCCGATGGAAGAGCGAGTGTGAAAGCGAGGAGAAAATCGGCAGCAGTTTCTTCGGCCCAGACACCTTCTCTGTGGTCTTTATTATGCTCTACTGTTTTATGGGTGCTCTGGTCGCGGATCTGTCTGTGTAGAAATCGTGTGTGTTTCCTCAATTACTGTGACGCGCGCGCGCAGGGTTTTTCGAAAAACAACTTTTGAAGGTCTCGTTCGTAAAAATCGCATCGAGATGTTATATTTCTCGCAAGCCTTGACTCCTTTTCAACTGTTTTTTCCTAAAAATACCTCAGCTTGAGACGAGGTCTTTTGAACCAGACACACACAAAATATATGTATAATAGAGACGCATTTATAAAAAAAATCGACCCGTCTCAATTTCAGGCATTTTTCTTCTCAAATTCAAAAATTCTACGCGCAACATTCCAATTCCTTCAATCGCAACCTTCCAAAAGTTGCACAATCTGATTGAAAAACCCTCGCGACCGAGGTGGAAATTTTAAGCTGTGAAAGAAATATATGATGTTATTATTCTAGTGTAAAAAAAATCGCGACATCTCCATTCACTCTGAAATTTTCGCAACGTTTTTTCAATCAAGAGGTGTCCGTGTGTTGCTAAAACCTATAAAAGTAATTTTATTTTGATTTCAATTAAAAAAAAATGTTTTCGTTCCCGGACAAGCACCTTTTGATTCCGAAGACTATTTTGAATGTCACACACAAATGAGTACCGCGTACTTTCCCAGGAAGTATTTTCCTTCTGGTGTCAACAGAGAATATTAAGCACATAAAAACGGAGCAGTTGAAAAAAAAAATAATAATGTTACAATAGTGCGCGCGGATTTCTGTTCTGTGCTGCAGAAAGATGTGTAGTATATTCGTACTAATAATTTATATTTTCGTCTTTTGTAATGATTGTCAGTGCACAACCCTTTTGGTCAGAGCAGTTCACACACGTGACACGTTTTAATACACACGAACACACACACATTAACACACTCACTCACTGTATTGTAAAAAAAGAACATATCCACGAAAAAGAAAAGGCACCAGCGGTCAACCCGAAAAATTGACGCAACACGTTGTTGAATGTTGCCTCTTTTTAGGCACATTGTTTCTATAATGAAATTCATTTGTTGAAAAGTGAAAACAGGTTAGCAGCTATGCGTGAACAATATTATTGAGTATTTTGTCAAAATGGTGCTAAACCGGATGATATAGCAGAAAAAAAGAATTATATTGAGAAAAAATCTAATAATAATTGTTGACGATCGATGATCCCCCTTGATTAAAAGCGACTAATTAGCTTGGAAAAATCTACTACTTCCTAACTGATATAAAAAATGTCGATCTTTTGATTGGTCTCATTTTTTAATAGTGAATGTCTGTATACTTGTCGTGCAAGAAAGATAGAATTTGACTATAAAAACACCGCGAAAAAAAATAACACACGTCTATACTCTGTTAATTGTGGAAAGCAATGCGAGCAAATTGAAAGAAAAATTAAAAACAAAAATCATCAGCCGATATATAAATGTGGCGTCATTCTCGAAGCCGACGCACAATTAATTTTACAAGATAAGTGAGAGTGCAAAATGTGATTCTACAAATAAACCGAGAGCAAGCAAGAAAGCATCAATTAAAATTTTGAAAAAAAAAATAATATAAAATTCGTGACATTTCCTCTCAAAAAAGAATATGAAAATTTTGATTGATCGACCTGCCCTGATGTGTCACCTGCTGCCCTGATGTGCCAATCGTCCGTACGAAGCTTCATAAAATTTTATCGGTGTGAAATAGATAAATAAATTAAACTCAGTTTTGGTGCGAGTTCGACCATCCATCCGCTCTCTCTTGTGTGAAAAGAAAGCACAAAACATGTCTCCAAAAACAGTCATTTTGCCGGCTGGAAAATCATTTTTAAATAATTACGCGGTTGTTACATATATATTTAAAAATTTAAAAAAAAAATCAAGCTGAACACAATCCCTTGCAGCTGTAATGTTTTAAATGAGTGAAAAGTCGCCTCGAAGAGAGTAGTGGACCTTGTTCTTATATACATAAATGTGTGTCCAAAATTTATTAAAAATAACGGACAAAAGTGGGAATAGAGCCAGTAAATAAACGTGTGAATGCCGAATTTGATTTTATAATAGCTGTTGGCAATATTTGGCCGAATAATTATCTTCCTTCGAAAATTCAAATCAAATCTTTTTTACTATTTAAATAAATAAAAGTTTAGAAACAATTATTCACAATCAGAAAAATGAAATTAATCGTGGACATTCCATTTACCTTTCTTTGACAAAATAACGTCACTAGTATTAAAATTAACGTGAGATGAGTCCAATCTCTGATTTTTTTTTTCTTTCTTAGAGGACAAGGTCGGAAGTATGTAAAATTGAAAAGTCCTCGCACTTTTCACGTGCACATTATTTGTACTACTTATAAAAAAAATCGCATGTAATGCCGCCGCTTTCTTAAGGTTTTTAATAAAAAAAGAGTAAACATGTGAGATCGTTTTTTCGACCTAATAATTAATTGAGACACACGAAAGAACATGAAACATACAAACAACACACACGCAACAGAGCTTAACTGTGAATTTTAATTGTCCGATTTTGTTCTTGTTTATTTTGATGGAATCGTACGTAGGGTTTAATTACGAGCTAAGAACAAAATCTCATCTCTCTCGGTTCTACTCCAAGTGCACATAAAAATTTTTATTCCCGAATCACGCAACCAAAAAGGCCTACTCGTCGCGAACATACTTGTGTATGAAAAAAAAAATAGGTCGGGATTATATAAAAAAAAAATAAGAATCTTATGAATTTCCATTCCATTGCAACTTTTTTATAAGGCGAATTTAAGATTTGAGAGGGAACCCCGCGTATGTAAGTAAGAATGACTGCTGTTATTTGAGACGAATGATGCGAAACAAATCTCTAGTTTTTAAATAAATAAAAATAAAAACGATATACACAGACGACTTTTGTAGTCCCCCCTTTTTCGAGAAATTATGTGATCTGAATTTAAATGAATATATATTATAAATGTGAACGTATGCTTTAGAGGATATGAAAGAAAAGGACACAATCTCTATTATAGCTGCTGCACTACTCGAGTAGTCTCTCACGTTTCATTAAAAAATACAAATTATAATCGCAGAAAATAGTGGAAAATTAATAAAAACAACACTCGTCTTATAACGCTGATCGGCCGCCTTATCGTGTATAATGTTGAATACTAATTTCTTGTATGCTTTCCACAAAGATACGTCACACTTGTTACAATTAGTTCGATGGGAAAATTATACGATTTAGATGGAGAAATCCTTGTTAATTAAATTCATAAAAATTGGATAAACGTCTTAAGAGCGAAAGTGGTTTGAGTAAAAACAGCTTAAGTGTACGTCTTTTAAAACACGCAATTAAACTTGATTGTTTAGAGTTATGCATAATGAACAAAAAACTGACACTTACACGCAGACACGACACACAGGAAACATACACACGTGACACACATACACACAAGTTTGTGAAGAAAAACTCGAGTTTATTCAACCGAAAAAGTTCTAAAAAGAGTTGTACTATAGTAATGTTAGCTTTATCATAAATAGATGAGGTAATAACTACCAAACCAAAAAACAACTGCTGTTTTTGTGTTTCCTTTTTTACGATTGTTGATTTTTAATGTTCACACAATAAGTCATTATTGTATATGTACGGCATTACGACGTCACGACGCGTATATGATTTAAACGAGGAAAAACTTAATATATTATTATACACCACTACTACAAAGAAATCTTTATGATATTTGTAATAAAAATGTTCCAATAAAATTTACCAAAATCAACTCTTAAATCAACACTGCCGTTATTTTTTTGAAAACCTTACAAAGTCATTTGTGGTTAAAATTCGGATAACAATATTTTTTAATAATAAAATGTTTAATTCATACATTAACTCATTTTTAAGAAGATAAATTTTAATTTTGCTCATTTTATCATTATATTGACGCTGCTGACGATTGAAATTAATGAACATCCAATAAAAAAAAAGGAAAATTTTTAGAGTGAGTACGATTTTGATTTGATATCTTCTTGCTGTGCAGCCTGCGAAACGTAATTGATAATTTTTTTTCACTCCAATTAATTAAATTTGCTTGTAATTTAATCAGCTCATTTTAGTCGGAAGCGCTGGAAATAATCGTTTTTAGTCGAAGACAATCGGGATGAACTCCAGTAATTCGTTCAAAAAATTCAGTTGTGTTTCACGACCCAAAAAACGTAGAAAAACTTGTGGAAATAAAATAAATGAAATGAGAAATCAACTTCCCCCTGTTAATTATCCGCCTACTAAAAGAGCAATGAAATAATATTGATTATCACCAAAATAGACCCGCTCTTTTTGCCTCAAACACGTCATTATTTCTCATAATATAAAACAATTTAATGAAATAGGTAGAAATTAACTGGAGTTATAGTTTATAGTGTGATTTATGCAACGCGCACGACATCCGTGCTTATGGATTGCATAACAAGATTTTCGCAGGAGCCATCGCAATGCAAAATCGACCGAGAGTCACGTTTTCGCCAGGCCTGTTGTTTGCGTAGGGTACATACTTTGTAGAGCCGGTGATATCTGCGTGATAAATTTGTCTGCCATATGCTCGCTCGCGTGGGTATTTTTACCTGGAAGGACACGTGAAAAATTGAATGCCTTTTTCCAGACCGCTTCCAGACAAATCACGGTTCATGGGTGTATTTATGTATTTTCACCTGTTGATTTTCAGATTGAACGTTGCAGTAGAGAAAGAAAATTCGTGGGAATTCCCCACAGAGCTTGTGCCATTCACGAATATCAATTGATTTTTCATAAATTCTGTTTGTATAAAAGAATTTTAAAAATTTTATTGCTAATCATTATTGACTTTTATTATAATTTATTTGTATAATTTTTCAATAGTTAAACAATAATTATTATTATGCATATTTTTTGTCATTAATATATAATTTCATTCCAATTAAATTAAAAGTCGAATAATGTATGTCATTTAGATATAAAAATAGATCTAAAAATGTCAGAAAAAAATTTAAACTTTTTCAATGTATGAAGAGACAGAAATTACATGCTTAGATCATTAGTGGAAAACAATTTCAAGCACGGATGATTGGATATTCTGCAATTTTATATGGAAATGGAACTGACTGTAATTAGCGAAAAAGGTAGTGAGCTTGGGTGCTTCAGGGGCCAATCAGCAAAAGCGGGGAAGCAAATCTGGCTCCATCAGCATCACTCCTGCTTCCCACACGTCCACAGTCAACGGTAGAAACTCTTCTAAGCTTGACGTACTGCAAGAGGTACTTCACGTGTAAAAATAATATTTTTTCAATTTAAACAATTTCTTTGTTTTCTTTTTGTTACTTTATTTGCAGAGAAATGGAAAAGCTGCAATTCATCATTTATTTTTTCCTGCTCTTGAAGACAATTTCATCCGAGAAAGAGGGTAAATTATAATTCTTTGATTTAATTATTGCACTTTTGTTTCAATTTCATTGACAGGTGAAAATTTCCAACTGGATGGAATGAACCCACCATTGACAAAATGGAATTACTTCAAACCGCAATATTTAGCTCCTAAGAGCTTCGCCATGCCTCCGCTTGCTCTATTTACAAAAAAGCTGCAAATGTTTCGAAACCACGCACTGAAGAGGGACAAAGAGGTCCCATTTGAACTTGTTGTTGATGGCACAAATTACGAGGAGGTGAATAAAATATAAATTTTGGAGAGCAAGAAAATAAACTACATGTAATTGATCAGAATTAATAAGATATTTTTATTAATTACCATACACATATATATGCATAGTTCATTAAGTTACAAGGCTAAAACTACTTGTTCACAAGATAAGTGAGCTCCTTTTCTATTCTTCAGTTTAAAGCTTAAAAATGCTATTCGTATTTCATTATAATATATATTATAGTCTAAAAAGTAGCTATTTCTTTGTAAAGATAATTTTTTTAGCAACCACATTTTTTACTTAAACTTTCACAACTCGACAGGAAGATTCAGAGTATTTTGCACAAAAACAAGTTCAGATCACATTAAATAAGTATAGAGTTTAACTAAAAAGTAATATCTCAATCACTGATCAATTCACCAATTTGAGAGAAATTTTAAATTTTTGTGCTTTGACTTCTAGATTTCGGGCATGTTTCATACTGAATTTAGCTGAAAATAAACAGAAAAAGCTATGGAAAATAGCTACCTGCAATGGCAGTCTTATTAAATTTGGGGTTTATAGTAGACTATGAGTGATTACTTAAAATTAAAAAGATGAAGGAGGATATGTTTGGAAATTATTTAAAAGGTGGTGAGAAAAGCTTTGAAATTTGAAGGAAAAAGGAATAATATGGCAAGATGGGATTTGAATTGGTACGCTCCTTATTATATAATAATCTCTCAGACTACCATAATTGTTAACAATTAATTTGGAAATTTTTAAAATCTCAATACTTGCCTACAAAAGACCATCAGACATTGATTAAAATTGGCTTGACTGTTTTTGGCAATAATTTGAAAGACCAGATTTGTTATTGGGAGTGCCAATTTTGTACAATGTTAATAGGTGGCCTCAATTGTCTAAAATATCCTTCCTCATATCTATCAAGAAAATTTTATTGCTGAATTTGAATTTTTTATCAAAGGCAGTGCACTGTTAAACTTGATCTAGTCTAATTTTAGCTTGTAAGTTTCCACAAAAAGAATCAAAACCCAGAGTGAAAATTTCTAGAAAGCACAAAAACCACCAAAAACTTCAATTTCTTGTTTCAAAATTAATCATTTGCATTTAAGGCACATGGCAGAAAATTTAAAATGGCAGTTTATTTCTTTTCCTCCTGGTGTTCCTTTAGGCGAATCAACATTTAAAAATTGAGTTTAGTTTCACAATATAAAATCATCTGTTGGCCCTCCAACCACACGTGTTTAAGTATATAATTATTATTAAATATATCATCCTAGCGATGAGAAAAAATAAAACTTGTCGGGCAAGAGAATAAAAGTAATAAAAGCGAACAATAAGAACCATGGAATCGCACGTGTAAAAAAATAGGGCAGCTCAAAAAGTCTGGTGTGTGTACAATAGTAAAACGGCTACAACGTAGAGAAAAATAAAAGTCCGGCGCGCGTCGGACTGGAAACAGAAATCTTGTGCAAGAGTCCTATTATCTGCGTCAAAAGGTGGGTCTCACTAGCCTACAATATGGTGCAGCCGCAGCAACACTTCTGAGGGTAGTCTGGAGCGTAGGCCCTGTTTTCAAAGCCGAACACAAAGAACGTGCTGTTCTTGTTTTTCCACCGGTAGTGGATTTCGGTGACTGGAATTATACGCACCACTTGTTTCTGAAATGGACGAGGCAAAAATTACAATTGTGGCTAACAATAGAGAGCCGAATTAAAAGCTCAAAAATACATTTGGAGCAATAAAAAGTCAATGAGCTCAAGAGTTTAATGGTTTGGATTAGAATCCCTCCGTTTCTTGGGAGCCCATTGGAAAAACTTGAAAAAGCAAAGCAAGAAAAGTTCAAAATTTAAGTTATATTAATTCAATACTATTTCTTGTCATTCAATTTTTAACTAAGAAAATAAAGACAAAAAAATGAAGAATTTCATATTTATAGAAAAATTATGTGGTACAATTTAGTTGAAAATTAAGCTTAATTTTGTTTTAAATAATAAAGTACTAAATTACAATCTTTTTGATCAACGAAATAGTAAATTGTCAATTAGCAATAAAGGGTAAAAGAAATTTATGCTGAATTTTTTCAATTGTCTTCTGCTTCTCCTAATCGAATTGTTTCTCTCACCTGTCGGATGAGCTTTTGGTCTGCAAAGGCCTGAGCGTGGGCATGAACGATTTGCGTCGAGGCCATGTTGATGGTTTCGTCTGGAAAGTGGCCGATGGGCAGCACCTGGTGAGCTTCCTCTTCAAACGCCACCTGCCCGGAGACTGATTTGACCAAGTCCTCTGGTAATGAGAGCCGTTCCACAATGTGCTCGGCCGAGTTGACTTTCCAGGAGACGGTCAGTTGAATGAAGCACTGAATTTGACCGTAGTTGTCACAAGTCGGACAGGGAACTCGTCCTTTGGCGTTGCATTTCAAGCAGTCCTGAAAAAGTACAAAATTTCAATGTTGATTTTGTCTAGATAAGATTTTTAAAAGGAATTTTTATCTACTTTAAAAAAATTTATATATTATTTTTTATTTAGAATGCAACAAATCTATGAAAACAATTATTTTCAAGAATAGAATAATATTTTTATAATTTATAAAAAATTATATAATATATTAAATTTAAAAAAAAAAATTTGGCTCTAATAAATTTTTGTATCTTCTTCCTTCAAATTTTTTGTTCTCAATTTTTCTCATCATAAATCATAATTTTTTTATTTTAACAAACTGGGAAATTCTGCTACTTGTTGATTTCAAATTTTTAATTAAATCTATATAAATTATTTTTTTTATTTAAAAATTAAACCGTACTTGTCTTCCATGACCGTGGGTGGAGGAGTGGCAGTAGAAGCAGCGCTCCTTGTAGCCGCTGGTGGACTTGCTCCAGCCGTCCCCGTGACAAGAGAGGCAGCGCACCCAGCCCTTGCCATGGCACTCGGCACACAAAAGTGAGCCGCCGCCTTTGCACCGGTGGCAAGATTTGACAGAGGCCGTGTGTGGCACAGGGATCAGTTTGACCTCGTCTTCGAACAAGGCGTCAGGATAGACTTCGATTTCCCACGGCAAAGGGGGCGCCCCGTTCTCTATGCCGTCCACCTCACCACCACCGTAGGGGATGTAGGCCCAGGAGGTCTCTCGTTTTTCAGTGAAAGAGTGCAGTTGGTACTGAAAATCATAAATTGAAAAAAAAATTAATTTTAAATTTGCAGATTTTTTTATTAAGAAAATCTCAGCTGGAAAATGTAATCATTGTTCAATTAAATGTGTTACATAATTCAATAAAAAATATTAAGTCTAAATTTGAATTGTATTTAATTTATTGATTTAATTAAAAGAAAGAAGTTTTAATGGAGTTGTATATGAATGAATTAAAAAAAAATCTTACATGGAAAGCTGAGGAGTAGTTGATTTTGGTGATGGCCATTTCTTTTGCAGCATCTCTTCCATAGCAGCAGTGTTCAGCCACGAGGGAGAGAAGAGCCGTCCTAGCCTCTTGTTCTGTGACCTGAGGACAGTTGGGCAAAATGTCCCTGTTGCTAACATCTGCGTCCGGAGATTCCATGTCGTAGAGTGGTGGTGGCACACTTACTGCAAAATTAATAAAATTAAAAATATGATAAGTTTTCTTCCAAATTCCACCTATCATGTCTCAATTGAATTTAAATCTAAATAATATTGCCAATGAATAAAATCAAAACTAATCGCGTCACTTTTCAACAAAATTCAATAAAAATTATATTAATTTCAAAGAGATAGTTAAGAATTTAATACAATTTATTAATCAGAAACAAGCTTTCGGCTCTAAAAAAATTAATGCTGCAAATAGAAAGGTCTGGATATTATCTGCGGAAAGCGAATAGCAAAACACAGCCCGCGAGAAACAATTAATAATCGGCGAGGCGGTTAATCAAAAAGTCACTCGCGAAAGTGAACAGAATGCAAAAATTTATACTTACTTGCTTCGAACGAGACGGTTTCGTAGCCAATTACGTTGTCCATCAGTTCTAAGGGGGGCGCCGACGGAACGGATTCATTTTCGTCCACGTCCACAATGTGTCCTGCGAACAGACAAGAAAACAAAATTTAATATAAAAGAAAAAGAATTTGCGTAAATGAATTTGTGCAGAGATTCGACCCAGATAAGGAGAGAGGCCTTTGCTCTCTCGTCAATAATAATCTCTTCGCCCTCCATAAAGTCATTTAACTTTAGAACGCCATTGACCCTTATTTTCGCAACGACCCCTGCCAGGCAGGCAACGGCGAGATGGGCAATTTTGGCTTTCGCTTTATAGCCCTCTTGCGTTGGGAGAGAGAGAGAGAAAAAAACATACGGCGCCGTGGTCTGCCGAAGTCTGAATAATTAAAAAACCGTGACGTTCAGAACGTTCTTTTTTCTACTCCAATTGAAGTGGATGGTAAAATCCTTTTAAGGAAGATAATTATTATGTTTGGATCATAAGGATAACATTGCTGACCTGAAAAGGTTGGAGTTTTAGAAAAATGCACCCCTGAACTAAAAGTTGTTCATTCCAATCGTCGTTAAAAATTAGAATGCAACAGTTATTTTGAAGTAAAAAAATCACTTATTTTAAAAACAAAAATTCCGAGAAAAATCGTTATTTTAATTTAGAACCAAGGTTTTAAAGAAAAGTTTGCAATTTCTGAGATAATTCTAAAATTTTGGCAATTGGCTTTTAAAGATTTAAAATCAGGAATTACAAATAAAAACAACAGAAATCAAAATAAATCACCTACGAATCGAATAAAATGCGATCTTTAGATGTTATAAGAATAAATTAGAATTAAAAGTTCGTTAAAAAAAAACACTTATTGAAAAGGGTCTCTTTTTCTAATTTTATTTCTTTTCTTCTAAATTTTGTCACATTTACTTCAAAGAAAAACCTATCGAATTTTGAAATTAGAATCTTTATTGTCACTAAAATTTATAATTTTGTGTACAACTTTTAGTACTTTGAGGGCACACGTGGCTGGCCTCAATGGTCGGTCGCCTTTAAGGCGATCGGAAGCAGCGAGGACAAAGAATGGCTGTTAAAAAGGATGCAGGCGCGTCTTAAATCACCCACCGGCAGCGTTTTACGAGCAAACTAGCAACTCCGTGGGCGGCAGTGTGTGACAGCAGCAGCGACGGAAAAACGTGAAAATTTTTGGTGCAGCACACATGGCCTGATAAAGCTGCTTTTGTTGGGGAACACACGAGGGCAAACCGCACCAAAGCAAAGCATTCCGGGCATTTTGGAGTGGCGCCAAAACAAGTAAGACTACTTGTAGTCGGTTAATTTGGACCGACCCGCCGCCGCGACCCGTCGCCGCAGCGCCTGCAGCTCAAAAGTGCACCATCGTGTGTCAAAGAAAGCTGACTGGCCATTTTTTGCATAAAGAGACCCAATTAGGCTATCTCGCATCTCTAGAGGTGCTGTTGAGGAATAATGGAACAGTAATTGGTCTTCTCTATACCACCTTTGGTAATTGTTCATTAATTGAAAAGGCAATCATGCAGTTCAAATTGAGAAGTCAATAAATTAAAAATATAAAAAATTGAACACAAAGTTCGCGGTTAATTTGACTTTCTTATAACTCTTCATATTGCATTCATTGGTGGTGCCGTTTTGTCTGTTTATTTATAAAGATGTTTCCAATAATGCAATTTCTGCAACTACAACAATAATTGTTAATTTTATATGGGGCTCACTTAAGTGTTACATTTTGTAATTTATTTTGCAAACGGGAAAAATATTATTTTTCTTTTTAATTCAAATTCCTCATTTTGAAATAAACTCCACGACAAATAAACTGAATCAGATTGTTCATTTACGGCAAATTTATTGAAATTTAGTGAAATTTTGAGGGGAAAAAATTAATATAGATAATTTATCTTGCTTAAAAAAAAATATATCAAAGCTTTACTTAACCGGTGAGCTCTTTCTTATTTGAGGATAAAAAAAATTACAATTAAATATTTGTTATACAAAACTAGACATTAGTTTAACATAAGCATGGTAAAAAAATGAAGTTCAAATTTTAGTCGTACTACAAAAATCCGAGACGTTTTTTTGTTATTTTGAAATGGCAATTAACGAAATTAGAACTATCTGATCGATCAAATAAAAAACTCCAGCACACCGAATTTCCTGTTTTCTTTAAGTACTTTTCAACTCTATAATTTTAATAGTTTTTGAGGAAACAGTTTTTAATTTTAATTAAAAAAATATTAATTATTTTAAATTCAGCCAAAAAAAAACTAGCAATTTACTGTCAATGCATCAGCTATAAAATTTAAATGCATAATATTTTTCTCTTCTTGGCCCAATTTTAGTGACTCTCATTTTGTTCCCCCTGCAGATTTCAATTAATCCCCTCTCTTAAAAAGATCCCTTGGCCCGCGTCGTAAATGGATTTTCCGGTGCCAAAACGCAATTAGCAGCCCGCCAAAGTGGAATCCGTTGAAAAATGCTGTTCGCCGATCCTGAGAGGCAAAGGGCTTCGCTTTGTGTGGGAGACAAGGGTGACACCGCCATGCAAACAAAGTGATTGATTGCGTTCCTGATTCTAAATTCGTGTTTGGCCGGCACGCCTTTGTTGTGTCCGCCGTTCGCAAACCCTCAGCGCGGAGAGGCCGGACCAAACGAGAGTGAGATCGGCCAAAACACGGCTCCTTTTATTTGACTTTTTGCAAATGGCGAACATCTGTTCCCCAAGCAAAGACCCCGAGGGAGCGGTTTTGCCTCGACAAAATAAAAAGAAAAAAAATATAAGGGCAAAACGAAACAGAGGCACTTTGCCGAAGATCTTGTTTCAGGTAGAAATAAGACCGTCTAGACGATATTTCAGAATGTATCCTTACAAATATTGAAGAAAAGGACAATCCTATAAAATGACAGTATGTTCCTTAAAATAATATAATATATAAATACAGATGGTCCGGAAGGTCTTTTAGATCAATTTTTCTTCACTCTGAATTTATTCAAGCAATATTTGATCTTTGAAAATCATGCTATTCATATCAAAACATAGGAGACTAATTAATAAAAATTAATGTAGTAATTTTACGCGTTTTTTAATTTGGGCAATATTTCAACTATTTCGTGGAATTCTATTGATAATCTTATTATTCTTTTTGCATAATTTAATTTGGACAATAACATTGTTTCTGTTTGAAAATACTTTTAACAAATTAAATTAAAAACTTCAAAATTATTATTTTTTTATGAAGAAAATTTTAAATTTTCAATTACAGTACCGCCTCCCCTTGAAAAATCAATGCCATCATAAATTTAGGAGGAGGATAGATACAAGTATTACCGAAATATATTTTACTTATTCATGTTTTATATATTTTAACAAGACAAATGATCAACTAAATAAAGGTTTATTTTTATAGATTTTGCTTCAAAACTTTTTCAACTACTTCAATCAAAATTTAAGCATAAAAACCTACCCCTAATATTTGAGGGGGGAAATATTTTACAAATAATTTTAATTCCCAATTTTTTTTGAAATTTTGACATTCACTTTTTTTGTAGCAACTTTTTTGAAGGAAAAGTCCCAAATCCAGAAATTTACCACCAACATAATTTTTTCCCCATCAAAATTTATGTTGTTTTTCCACACTATATCAAAATAATATGGCATTTCTGGCCATATTTTCCAGTCCCGAAGCCGCAAAAACGCGTTTTTAATCTTCCAAATCGTCTGTCAACTATAAAACAATTTTATATTCGACTCAGCCTCCAACATCAGTCGCAGCCCAATCAGCAAAAAAACTCTCCCTCATGAATAATTCGCAACCACGAGACGAATCTGCATAATTTCCAGGTCAGGCTGCCTTTGCAGCTTCCTCGTCGGCTGATAACAGAGGGCAGAAAAGAAAGGGCGGAAAAGCGCGGTGCCAGAAAAGGGCTGCGTGATTAATGGGCGCATCATGAAGTTGAGCGAGAGCGAAACGGCTGCGCATTTCCTGCAAAAACGCATCCACACGCCAACGGCAGAGGCCTTTCTCCTCTTTTAATCCCGTGGTGCGAAATAAAAATGGAAAAAAAAATAATAAAAACGGCCCGTCCGAGGCAGCGAGAACGGACGGACTGTGAAGAGGAGGAATGAAAAAAGAGGCAGATCAATAAGAGCGAGTGACCCGAGCATTTTTCATTTCCAGCAAAGCCCTGCTCTTTCGATTCAAGATTTCATCTCTGGCCGTTTATTTGGAGGAGTTCGTAGACTTTTAAAAGTGTCGTCGCAGCCCGAGATGTTGTGGATTAGATCAACATTGAGTTACGAACTGATGAGAGAATTTATTTCTTTGACGCAAAAATATCACGTGAAAGTTTCTAAAAGTGTCCACCAACTTTTGTAAGAAGGTTTTTCAATTATCCAGTAAAATTGGCTTGAAATTAAAAAAAAATGCAAATTCAACAAATTTTTGGTGTCTTTATAATATCTAAAATCTAGTTCATCAAAATCTTATTGTTAGAAGCGAAGTTGGAAAAAATGTCTCTTCCAGTTTCGGTTCCTAATTCATGGATAAAAAAAAATACAAAAATCAGCAAAATTGAAAAACCATGCCTTTAAAAACAACTGTTTTTTTTTCTCTTACTTTTTTTCATCCAATCAATTTGATTTTCAGTCAATTTTTTAAGAAGATATTTCTCTAATCTTTAATTCTATGAAAAGAATTTCTAGAAATTTGTGACTTTGAACTTCAAAATAGTTGTTCGAATTATTTTAAATATTGATGAATATTAAAAACATACTGTTTTGGTTTATTCTTCAGAAATATAATTAAAAATTAAGCTTTATTCACAGAAAAGCAAAAACTGAATGAAATTCGCCCAAAAAAACTTCATTCTAAGTCTCGCCTAAACAAATTCCAGCAGACAAAGGAACAAATGAAGTTGGCGAACGGTTGATTACCATCTGCTCAGCGTACAAAGGATCCAGATTTATCCCCACAGCAAACAGTTTTTGACCTTCAAAGACACACCGGACTTTTGGTACAAATAAGCAAGCCGAGTAGTGCATTTGTACGATCCGATCGCGAGATAAC